CTGAGAAAAGCAGCACCAGAACAGCTTATGGCTGCTCCAATGCCCCAGAGAACCTCCAGGCAAAGAGCAGGGCTGTGAGCAGAGCTTGGTACCTACCTGAGCTCCCTCAGCAGCTGATGGCGGTGGCTGCCCCTACACTGGGCACCCTCCTCTTTGCACAGGAATTCAATGGGCATGTGGAGGTTCTTCACTCTCTGCAGCCAGAGCTCGGGGGAGGCTGTCCTCACCAGATTCTTTAGCTCCTCAGCACACGCCATGGCAGCCAGCACGTCCAGATCCTGCACACACACGGGGACAGGGGTAACAACAGCTGCATTTCAGAATTATTTATGGACCTAGGGCTCTCAGTCTGGCTTGCTACACCACATGTTCTACTGAATAATGTCCTACTTGATTTCTTTAAGCTCTACGATTCTCATGTTTGTGGCTTGGCTCATTAGCATGTCTAACGCAAAAGCAGAGAAAACTATTTTAAAACCTGCTTGTAGCAATAAGAGCACAGTAGATCATTCCCAATTCTGAGGAACCCCAGCCTGTGCTTCCCCCTCTGCTGTGGCTGAAATCCAAAGGAGACTGAAGAGCAGTGCAGACAGAGCTCCCTGCCAGGGCTGAGGGAGTGACTCTACCATCTCAGAGCATGGAATTCTGCATTCATGTGGGGTCAGGAGGTAGCCAGTCACACAGGGGTACACAGCCAGGATCCTGGAGAAGTTCTGCAGGCGGCTCTTGAACTGGTTGTGTGCCAGGTGGGCCCAGGGCAGGGAGGGCACCAGCTCCTTTGTCCAGGGGGACTCTGCCATCCACTCCTTAACCCAAGACAGGAACGCCGCACGCAGACACTGCAGGGATGGGACACAGAAAACAAAAGGTGAGAAAGTACTTTTATAACTCATCTTGTACTGGAAAGCCTGGAAAAATTCTCTGAAAGATGAGAATCACTTCCCTACAAAGACAGCCTTAAATGTGCCAATTTATACAGGTGCTGCCTTTCTGAGTGATCCCAGTGTCCAGTAGTCTGCTCTGGGGTTCCCTTGTTCTTGGGCAACTGTCTCAGAGGGGCATTTTCCCCAAGGCAGGACTGATTCAGAAGGACGCATTCCGAGGCATCACACTCTTCTCCCCATTCAAAGGGTTTCCAGCCCCTGACCTGCAGCTGCTCCTGGGAGGACACACCAATGGTCAAGACAACAAAGTCTCTGATGTAGCACTCAAAGAGCAACTGCCTTTCTTCCCCAGTCAGAGCAGAGATGAATTTTCCCAGGGCAGTTTTCTGGAAGTATTCCACAAACTTCTCAGCATGGCCTGGAAAATGAGGATGCAGAGAAAAGCTAGATGTTAGGAAGAAGCTGGTTTTGAAACAGCATCTATCCTAGAGACACTGACACCTCATTAATCACTGATGCATCCAGCACTGATGCATCCAGAGCACTGAGGAGGGACTCAGGCCAAGCCTTGTCAGCCCAGCACCGTGTCGTATTTCTGGATTCTCACCTTGTCATTAACTCTTGGCTGCTCCACAGCACTTTGAATGCAAGGAGAGAAAGATGAATGGTAAGAAGCACAAAGAAAAGCTGCCTGCACAGAACTCTGCTGGCTCACAGGAGCACAGAGGGACTGAAGGTGACTGCAGTGACAGGAGGGGCACAGCAATGACAAACCAGAGCTCAAAGGGCAGTGGATGGAGATGCTGAAGCCAGGCTCTCACCTTCAGTGTTTTGGATGTACTGAGCCTCCAACCACATCTCTTCCAGATACTCCTTTATCCTCCAGCTGAAGGGTATCTCATTCCCAGCATCAGCAGATACCATCATGTTGTTCTGCACCACGATTATCTCTGGCTGAGGGCTGGGCAGTTAAAAGGTCATTAAGGCACAGGGCTTTTGTCAGGGAAGCACAGTGCAGACAACAGAGGCAGAGGGCTGCAGAAAGCAACTGAGCCCTATGAGGGAGGGGAGAGGGAAGGGAGGGAACTGCAGGACTCTGAGAAGAACCGGCTGAACTATGAACAGTGCCCTGCTGCCCTCCTGGAGCAGCCAACAAACAACATCCCTCTGCCTCGGGGGGTTAGAGCCAGTGCTGGGCTGCTCCCAGTGCTGCCAACCCAGCCCAGACCAGCCCTGCTGCTGCTCCCCCGGGCTCACCTGTTCTTCCCTGCACTCAGGAATTTGGTGTCATTGAAGATGAACATCCACAGCTTTGTCACCCAGTTTGCTCCTGACCTGACCAGCAGCTCCAGATTGCCATTCCTGTCTATGACAGCAATCAGGAGAGCCAGGAAGGGAGTGACCACCTTCTGCACTCGCTTCCACAGGGTGTGCCTTTGGGAAGAGAGAGATGGAGAAACCCAGAGGAAATGTGAGCAATGACATCAGCAAAACAGGACGTGCCTGCCCTGAGTAACTAATTCTGTCACATGTCAGTATTCTGGTATGTGACAGAATCCTAATGCTGCCTTTATGGGAAAGAATACCATCAACAAAAAATCCCTGCACTTCTCTCACTCCTGGCTCACCTGTATCCCACTGTTCCACTCAAGCACTTGTGCATCCCTGTCCCAGTACAACCCCTTCAGCTCTAACTCACCCTTCCCCAGGACAGGCTAAAATTGCCTCCCGAGAGTTTCTACCACAGACTGGAGACTGACACTGCAAATGCTGAGATAACACAAAGCTGCTGTCTCTGCTGCACAGGTGCCACTTGCAGACCCTTCCTGGAAAGCTGCAAGTGACAAGGCAGTGCTGCTATCCTCACCTGAAGGAACCTGCCTCCTGCAGAGCAGTGAGGTTGGAAGCTTCCCGAAGCACCCAGTTTTTTGGGTGAAGGGAATTTTCTTCTTGCTTCTTCAACAGGCTGGAGAGACGAACCTTGGTTATCTTCAGGAAAGAGGCTACAAAACAACAGGGAACTTGTGTTTTCTCTTCTATTAGCTTGGACCCAAATATCCCACCAAGCACAGCATTTGACCATTTTTCCAATAATTGGCCAAGTGGGGGGAAAAAACAGCCAGTACAGTGAGAGAAAAAGCCACCACTTAAACAGAACAAAAGCCCTACACCCACCAACACTGCAGCACGGACACATATTCTTGGGAAAGTCCCCTTGCCTGCACCACAGCAAGGACTTCTGCATCCCCAGTGAGCTGACTGACTGTTTTGGTGGTCCCCAAATGTCCAGGGACTCCCTGCAGCACACACCTTTCAGCTCATCCTCTTTGGAGAAAAGGCCAAGCAGAATCTCAATTCGCCTCCTGCTCCGGCTCAGGTCCTCGTTCTGGTCCCGCAGCATGCCCACAGCACTCTGCACACAGGTCCTCAGCAGCACCGTGGTGTCCAGGATCTCATCCTGCCCAGGAAACAAGGTCATTCCCCTGGAGTGACCCTCCTGTCCCCAGCACACTCCCTTGAAAGGTTTCCAGGGCTCCCACAAAGGGCCTGCTGCCTAGCATCCCTGTTCCCAGCTTCCCTCAGCTCAGGCTGCAATTCTCAGCTCTTTTGCTGTCAAGAACATGATGCAACTTCTGTGGCCCTTTCAAACTGGCCTGTGAGACAGCATTTGTGCTGAGTTGAGATTGCTGCAGGGGAAAGGGGGAAAAAACAGCCAGTACAGTGAGAGAAAAAGCCACCACTTAAACAGAACAAAAGCCCTACACCCACCAACACTGCAGCACGGACACATATTCTTGGGAAAGCCCCCTTGCCTGCACCACAGCAAGGACTTCTGCATCCCCAGTGAGCTGACTGACTGTTTTGGTGGTCCCCAAATGTCCAGGGACTCCCTGCAGCACACACCTTTCAGCTCATCCTCTTTGGAGAAAAGGCCAAGCAGAATCTCAATTCGCCTCCTGCTCCGGCTCAGGTCCTCGTTCTGGTCCCGCAGCATGCCCACAGCACTCTGCACACAGGTCCTCAGCAGCACCGTGGTGTCCAGGATCTCATCCTGCCCAGGAAACAAGGTCATTCCCCTGGAGTGACCCTCCTGTCCCCAGCACACTCCCTTGAAAGGTTTCCAGGGCTCCCACAAAGGGCCTGCTGCCTAGCATCCCTGTTCCCAGCTTCCCTCAGCTCAGGCTGCAATTCTCAGCTCTTTTGCTGTCAAGAACATGATGCAACTTCTGTGGCCCTTTCAAACTGGCCTGTGAGACAGCATTTGTGCTGAGTTGAGATTGCTGCAGGGGAAAGATTCAGCAGTTTGAAAGAAAAAATGGAAATAATCAATGTGACCAGGGAAAATCTGCCCTTCCTAGGAAATGCTCCATGTCCCTGGTGCTGGGCATGTCCAGCTGAGGCTGCCAGGGGCACATGAGGCAGTGTGAATGTGGCTGCAGCACAACCAAGTCCTAAGCCAGCTCCAGCTCCACCTCAGAGCACACAGCTGGAGTGAGGCTCAGGACCACAGCTCCCACCTCCAGGGGGAGAAAGGCAATAGAAACTCTTAGAGCTGACTTTTAAAAATCAGAAGAACAAAATTACTAAGGAATTATAGGGTCCTTAGAATGGTTTATTTCTTTAGTGATGCTGATTTTCACTGGGTAGTGGGGAGGAGGAACTTGTATCTGATCAGTAACATCAATGACGCAAATATTGCTGATTGGTTTCAGGTGAAGGGAAACACAAATGGTGGGTTGCACCCATGGATGACAAAGCAGAGAGCCACAGTGACAGCTGAGAGGCAAACAAATGTATTCTGAACTGACCTCATGGTGCTCTGCTCCTGGCACTGGTGCTCCAACCTCCACCTCCTCCTGCTGTGCTTCTCCATTGGCAGGCAGAGCTGCAGCTAAGGTGCAGAATTTTTGTTAGAAAGCAGCAGTGCACCCTCCATCAGTCAGATGAGAGTTTATTTTAGCAACTGCATCCCAGAGCAGCAGAACATCTGTCAGAGATCCATTAGCACCTGCATGAGTAGCTGAGATTCACCTCAAACACAGCTACAGCTGCTCAGGCTCTCAGGCTTCATGCAGCAAGAGCTGGAAGAAATGTGACACTGAGCTAATGCTTAAGCTTTCCCTGACTCCTGTCAGGCAGTGTGGTGAAAGGAAAGAGAGTAAGGGGAAAGAAAGATCCTTGTCAGTCTCTGCCATGCATTTGCTACCTCCTGTGCTGGGACAGAACACTCAGGCTGCTGAGCAGTGCAAATGCCACATTTTTGTCAAAAAGAAAAGGGAAAAATACCAAATTAACTTGCTTGATGACCTGAAGTTGTAGTAATGAATTAAATACAAGTTGGGAGCCAGGTGGTGACCCCCACAAAACCGGGTGCTGAGCAAGGAAAGTCATCAGATACATTGTGCCATGCATTAGTTCCTGTAGTACCAATCTGGAGCCACAGCTCCCCCTTTCCCCAGCACACAGCTCACCTCTGGTTGCACCTGGATCCTGAGAGAACACCTGGCTGATGGTGAGGTTCTGCAGGACTGTCAAGTCAGAGATCATGTCCTTGGACCTGCGGAGGTCGTCGATGTGCACCGACTGCCACAGCCCTACAGGCACAGAACAAGGAATCACTCCCAGCCTGCAGCTTGTTCTTCCAGAAGAGCTCCCCCAGAAATACCTGCCAGCCCCTGGGGTTACCTTCAGAGGTTACTAACTCTCACCTCTTGCTGTAAGAGGGGAAAGCACAATGCCCTCAGAACCTGCTGCTGCACACATCCCTGCCTGACAGTTCCAAGGTTCTGAGGCTCTCAGAAGCCCCCAGACCCAAAGGAACTTTGCTGGACACATCAGCACCTGCTCCAGAGCCTCCTCTTGCCTGGAGGACAAGACATCCACAGAGTTACCCTTGTGGCTGTGCGCTGCTCTTCAGCTGACTGGAGAGGGGACCTGTCTGTCAGCAGGCAAGGCAAGGTGCTCCCAGCCAGGACTGCCAGGTACTGATCCCCTGGGCAGCCCTGTGGGACAGGGAAGCAGCTCTGACAACCCACAGGACACACTGAGTCCAGGTTTTCAGCATTTAAAGGAAGAATGAGCAAGAGAAATGATTGCCTGAAGGCAGCTGAAGAGTGAAGATGGACTGATGGGCACACGCACCTCCATGGAATCCCATGTAAGATGTTCCTCCTTCCAGCCGGGAAAGCTTCATGATAAAGTAAACAAAGACAGAGACCTCCCCCAGGTCCACCTTGTTGATCTCATTGACAACAGTGTATCTGCAGCAAAGAGGAAATGCTGCTGGCAGAGCAAAGGCACACAGAGGCCCATGGCCACAGGTCTCTCTTCAGAGAGGACACGTGTCCTCTCCCAGAACAGACACAGGTGACTCCCACTCCTTCCTCCCAGCTGTGGTGCTGAGCTGCCACCTCCAGCTGTGTCCTGAATTATCCCATGACCCTCAGCCCTTCAGGACTTCTGCAGGCAGTGGCCAGAATTCACACTACAAAGGGGATTATCTGCTCATTTCAACCAGTTTCGCTTATTCTGACTTGGGATATGGATTATTTGAAATACAATCCATGCATTTAGATCCATTCTGCTACAGTATAAATTCTGCAAATTCCTGAGTGTGAGATCCCCAAACAGGACCAATAACCAAACACAGAGAGGAGTGGCCAGGCAGAACTGAACCATTCCACACTGCACTCACCTGGCTGAGGTGATGAGCTGGGCATCCTTAGAGCCATCTTCAAAGTCTGTCTGAACAATGAGGACTTTATTTCCTGAAGTGGAATCCAGGAAATCGCTGAAGAGTGAAAAGAGATTTAATGAAAGTTACTAAGTATAAAGATCAAACATTAGAGACCACAGAACCAGCCACTCCACATTAGCTTTGGCTGCTGCAGAAGGAGAGAGAAAACCACGAAATCCCATTTCATGTGATGGAGCTGACAAGGTTTGTCCCTTATCAGCAGATATCTGGGCAGAGCCAGCCCACTGCCAGCACAGCCTCCCTTTTCCATATGTGCTATTCCGAATGCTCTGCCCATGCACCTTCCACACAGCTGAAGCCCATTCCAAGCAGGAAAACATCGGCCCAGACTCACCGGATGCACTTCAGGAAGGAGTACTCCGTGTCAAACTGCTGCAGGAACAGGATCTGGGGCCTCTGGGCCTTGCCCTGCACCTCCCTCTCCAGGCAGGCAGCATCAGCACTGGTGAGCAGCCGTGAGAAGGTGGTGACCTGGGGAAAGAGGGGCAGCAATGCAGCACAGACCCACCTGTGCTCGCAGGGCTGCCAGTCTGCTGCAGAGCTGCACTGTGCCCCAAAATCAACATTTATGTGCCAGCACCCAGCTCTGCTGGTGTGGCACACACAGGCAGTGCCATGCTGCAGCCCTGGCACGGAGCTGAGTGGGGTCAGGAGGGCTGGCAGCACCCCAGCCTCACCTCGGTGAAGGCGGTCTGGGGCCCAGCCCCTGCACCCACGTGTGCACTGAGGAAGTCAGCGAAGGAGGTGTGCTGCTGCTGCCTGAAGTAGGTGTGGGCCAGGGAGTGCGCCATGAACTCCCCCATGGAGTTGCGGAGGCGGATGACGGCGTCGGGGGTGGCACAGTTGAGCAGGGCCAGCCGCGCCTGCTCGGTGACGCGGGGCAGGAGCTCGGCGGGGGCACAGGCCGGGCGCAGGCGCTGCGTGCCCTGCAGCACCAGCGAGGCGCAGGCGTTGGCATGGTAGCCCACAAACGCGTCTGCAGGGCTGTACTGCTGCTGACCGATGTAGAGCTCCTCCGTGTTGACCACCGCGAACTCCTGCACCCATCGCTCCAGCTCCTGCATGGCCTCCCTCTGGCCCTTGTCCAGCACGGTGCTGATGTCCAGGTAGTGCTTCTCCAGCCGGTTGATCAGCGGGATGGGGAAGTGCTTGTACACCACCTCCTTCTCCTCGATGACGATCAGGCGAAACTTGGGGTGCACCCGGCACTTCACCCGGTGTGTGCCCAGCCCCAAATCCACGTACTTCTGCCCAGCCAGGTACACGTAGTACTGGTTGAGGGCATCGTAGAGGCTCTCGTAGAGGTTCTGCAAGTTGAGAAGCACAACCATCTGGCCAGTTTCCATGCAGACCTTCACCCGGTTGATGTTCCTGCATATCTGGGTGTATTCTTGGTCCTTAGGAAAACTGGAGCCAAAGATGATTTCTGGCTGCTGTCGGGCAGTGAAAAAAGTCTGCTGGAGGATCTGCAGCGCCGCATAGTTCTCAGTCAACACAAGCAGGTACCTGCAGTCCCCATCCTCAGCACTGCTGTAAATGTTCTGTCGGATCAGCTCTATCCTACTGATATCACAAGCCTGTATCTCCCCTTTTTCTGGCAACTTGGAAGTGAATATTTCCAAGGCATCGACATCATCTTTGCCACCAAAGTTACGAAGAACCACTGTGGCAATGTCCTGAGGTGTGGGGTCCTTTCTGGAGCTCTTAGCTAAGGCAAAAAACATCTTTATGAGGCTGTAGTAGTCACGCAGGCCAAAGAACTCCCTGTCTTGGGCCTTGCAAATGTTTTCATATGCATCTGCAAAGTGATGGAAATACTGTTCGACCTTCTGCAGAGCCCCTCGTGCCGAGCAGCAAATGCCCTTCGCGCTCTCGATGAGCTCCTCTCTGCTGGGGTCTCCACGAGACACAAAGATGCCTCGATTCATCTTAGCAGGGTCCAAAGCCCAGTTGGAAATCCCGATGAAACCAACCTTTTTGTGAGGATCAGGGACATCATCTACGCAGCCATCCTCCAAAAGTGGATGCAAAGTCTTCAAGGGCATTTTGGGAGAGTCTTCTGCCAGCCCAATCTCATCCAAAACCACCACTGATACATACTCCTCCAAGTTCTTCCCTTCCTGGAATCGAGCACAGTGCTTGAAAGTGCCTATGATTCCCTCTGGAGTGGAGAGAGGGCTGCACTGAAAAGACACAAGATGGATCTGCTTCAGGTCCTTGAACAGATCAGAATGAGCTGCTTGGCCCTGCATAGCATCAGCCACGATGGTTTTTGCCAGGGATTTGGAGCTCCCAGGCTTCCCAACCAGAAAAAGAGGGATTTTCAGCTCAATACAGATGACCATCATGAAGACATTTTCCTTCAAGGCCAAGTTCCTTGCTATGGTATCCCGGAGTGGCACCCCACTCAGGAATAAGTCCTGTATCAGGGAGATTTCTTCCAAAATCTTTTTCTGGGTATTGTAAGGCTTTGGGAGGACCTGGCTGATGGCAGTCCTGTATGGCTCCTTCCTTTCCAGGGACGCGTGGTAGCAGACCCCAACCGCCAGCACCAAGGACCAGATGACACCGTTTCTGTCACCACCGCCCTTGGGAGCTTTCCTCTCAGCCAGGCACTTCTCCAGCTCCCTCAGCAGCATATGGCTGTGCCTGTAAAACCACTTGAACGCCTCCATGCAGCGCTCCACATCCCGCAGGCTGACAAAGCTGCACTCATCATCCGTCTGCCTCATGTACTGCTGGGAGGCAAAGAGCACCTCTGTGACCATCCTCACCTCGTCCTTGGCCATGGGCAGCTGCTCCGCCACGCGCTGCACGATCTGCTGGATGTACTTCTTCTCCATGTGGTTGTTGAGCTGCCCAAAGTCCCACACCAGCAGGATCATGCTGGGCGGGAGCGCATGCACCCGGTACACGAGCTGTCTCAGTGGGATGGATCCCAGCTTCTCCTGGGTGTTGTCAGCCTTCACCCGGTAGCCCAGTCCAGCCAGCTCCAGGCGTTCAATCATTCTGTCCGTGTGCTTCCGGTAGGGATTGCAGGCTGCGATGATCTGCAGGCCAGAGCCAGAGGCCAAAGGCTCCCCCTGCACCGTGTGGTCACACAGAACCTCCTTGATGCTGCTCACGGCCTCTGTCGTGTTGGCTTCGTCGAAAAAGAGGATGGTGTCCAACCCGTGCTGCTCCTTGTTGGATTTAGCCAGGGCTTCTGCTTCTCTGATCCTGGCATAGATCATTTCTGCAGTGGTGCCTCCATGAACCTTGACAAGTTTCATGTTCTCCACCTTTACAGATCCTCTGCGTAACTGGCACAGGAACTTCACCAGCCTGGTTTTCCCACAGCCTGTTTCTCCCATGATGACCACCGGGATGTTGCAGCGGAATCGCATCTCTATGGCCAAGATTTTCAGCACGTTGTCTGTGGTGAGCTCGTACGTCTTGTCGGGGTCAAACACTCTGGGGAGCCCCAGCACCATGCAGAGCCTCTCGAGCTTCTCTTTGCGGGTCAGCTGATCAAAGGGCACGTTGAAGGGAACCCTCTGCAGTAACAAGCCCTGGTACAGCTGGGCAGTCATGATGTTCTTCTTGATGACATTCCCATTCAGAGGATTGATGGCATCAATGTGATTTCTGGTCCGATGGAAGTGGAAACCAATGAATGTCATGGACACACGATCCTCATTGAAAAACAGGTAGGGATGAGGCTCTGACTCCCACTTCTTCCTGATGTGGAAAGGAAACAGATCTTCCTCTGCGACGTTCTCCAGGTGGGAGGATTGTCTTCCTGAACTCTGGTCGGAAATGCTCAGGGAGGGCGTCGCAAAATCCCGCGCCATTAAAATCATAAAGCCAACCACAAAGTTCTTGAACCCATTCAAAATGTCCCCAACACAGCCAGGACTGCAAAAGACAGAAGCCTCACAGTCTCTCAACTGAATGTTGAGGAACCAGGTGAAGTTGCGGAGCTCTGCCCAGGAGGGATCCACGACCCCGCAGTGCAGAAGGAAGAGCTGCAGACATTCTTTATGGCTGCCTTCCACCGAGAGTGCCTTGTACCAGAACGTGTCCAGGTCACGGCCCTGGTCAAACCTCTTCAGATACTGGAAGGGTCTCTGAAAAGCCTCACTGCAAAATTCCTCCTCGTCCATTCCCACATCCCCAGAATGGTTCTCAAGTGTCTCCACTTCTAGCACTTCTTTGGGAGACTTGCACGTTATTTTAGGGAACACATCCAAGAAGTGATACTTCTGGTGCACTGACGTCTGGACAAAAGAAAAAAAAAAGGTCATCACAGAGCTGTAGCCTCAATCTTCATCAGCTTAGTTAATCTGTTCTTAAAAACCTCCTTGCCTAAAACTACAGACCTGGGAACAGGAGCCAGCCTTTTCCCCGTGCATCCCTTCTTCCACTTAAAGTGCACCAAGGAATCCTATTCCCACCTACATTTCTCTTCCAGGAACATGAGCCTGGCATCGCCTCCAGCCCCTTCTCAGGGCTACTTCAAAGAAAACAAAACCCATGAAACTGCCGGTATTTATTCCAGTCACTTCTACATTCTGCTCTTACAGCTGCATATAAATATTTCCCTACTTTCAAACACACAAATTAACATGAGGGAGATTAGATTTTGCATTTTTATATTTCCTATAAACATTACAGTGGGGGCAGTGAGGCTTGGATTAACAGGCCTTCAGAAATCACCAACCCAAGGAAACCAGACAGGCCTAATTTGCTGTCTCTGTCTGGTGTAAATGTCACAACACCAGGGACACCAGTTCGTTATGGGATACAGCACACTCCCAATGAAACACGGAACTCTGTGCTGTGTTTACAGTTACAGTCTCTACAACTCACCACAGCTACGTACAAACATGTGCAAAGTGACTGAGAAATTCCCAGGAAAGGAGCATTGCTGGTACGTACAGATCTGGCTGCTGTCTTTGGCACTGGGGACACCTCCAGGATTTCAATGATATACAAATGACACTTCTGCCGTAGCCACATAACTCCCAGCTTGCTACAAAATTACAGTGATGCTGCCAGCCAGGACAATCGCCAGTGCAGCCAGAGGATAAGGCCACCAGCTCACTCTTCTGTCTGCAGCTCAGTTCCATCTTAGCAAGGAACCACAGGCAGGAACACCCATGTGCCTAGGACCACCACCCCCAGCAACTCCACTGTCAACCACAGCCTTAAGAATCTTACACTCAGGGGTAAAACCAGCCCTGGCTCAAAACCAGTTACCCCCTGGCTGCCATTATTATCTGTCAGGTACTGCAAAACCAACAGCTTGAAGAGAAACTCTGGAATTCCACGCTGCACCTATCACAAGGAGAGATACCAAGGCATTTCCTCTTTATTTACCCCCCACAACTTGACAGAATCACAGAACAGTTGAAGGTGGGAAGGCTCTCTGCTTAAAGCAGGCCCAGCTAGAACAGGCTGCTCAGGGCCACATTCGGTCAGGTTTTTAACATCTCCAAGGTGGACACTCTACAGCTTCTCTAGGCAGAACTTCTCTTCCAGAGTTCAATCACCTTGATGGTATTTGCGTTACTTACACAATAATGAGAGAACACTTGCTAGGGAAACGGCTAGTTGAGAAACAAGAGCTTTAAAGAAAGCTCCTGCAAGGGTCCACACAGGACTTGTGGGACAAGGCAGCTGTGGGAGGGATGTACTCACTGAGGAGGTGATATCAAAATGGAATATCATGGGCTTTGTCTGGTGTTCTCTCTCCAGAAAAGGCAGGAGAGATTTTAGCACTTTATCTTCATCCACTTCTGGTTCAATCAGTCTGACGGTTTTCAGAAGTTCTGTGCAGTCAGGCTGATCTTTTTGCAGTCTCTCATGCAGCCTCTTCACATACAGAGATTTCCCTGTTATTAAAAACGCCACAAGAATCAAAGTCATCAACATAAGATAGATCACATTAAAAGTATAATAGAATGAAATAAAATATTTAAGTACCCCATGCCCTACAATCTCTGAAGCTTCCTGAAAGGCATCCCAGAACAAAGTCTAAATCTGATTTGCGCAGCTGTAGCCTAGAATCCAATACATTGCTCTTGTTACCATAAGGTTTGTTTTCCTTCCACCGCCTGAAAGAAGCTTTACTCTTTATGAGGACTTGAATCTTTCTATTTCGTGCTTGTTTCTAAAGTCAAACCAGGGGACAAGGTGACTTTGAGCTTTCACCTCCCTGCACTGACCAGTGGAGGGTGAAGTGCAGGACACTGTCCAAGGAGACCTGCCAAGAGCAGATGCTGTCAGCATGGCTGGGGCTGAGGTTCTGCCCAAGGCCAGGGCAGCAGCCCCAAGGCAGGAGGGGCAGCGGGAGCTGAGTGATCTCAGCCTCACCTTCAGGTGACTTTGAGCTTTCACCTCCCTGCACTGACCAGTCTGAATTGCTCTTTTTGACCAAGATACTTAAGTCTTGGACACAAATTGTGGCAAGGTGAACCCCACACTGGTTTTGAGCTCTCAGCAGAGCCCACTCTGCACATGCCATCTTACCCATGCCAGCTCTTTTGGAGGACACAATCCCAACACACATGTGCTCCTTGAACACGGCTGCAGCCGAGCTGGAGGGGTGAGCCACTCGGAAGTGGTGCTGCAGGTACTGCTGGATATCTTCCTGTGACCTCTGGGGAATCATGTGCACCTTGTAGTGGCTGAAGGCAGAGGGTAGGTAGCTGTTCTCCCGCTCGCAGTTGCACAGGATGATGAGCCTGTAGGAGCTGTTGTAGCACTGCAGGTGCTGAAACAGCTCCTCTGTCCTGCAGCTGACGTCGTAGCTCAGCTCATCTGCGTAGAGCATGGTGTAAATCTTGTTCCCACCCTGGCAGGGAATGAGGCACCTGCGCAGGAACAGCCCCACCTGCTCTGCGCTGGTCTGGGGCGTGCACAGCAGCACCTCATCGAAGGTGGGAAGGGGCTCCTTGGGGCTGTTCATGTAAATGGCCAGGGCAGAGCTGAGCACCTCAGAGCGAGGGCAGGTGATGAGGTTGGGCTGGCCCACACAGAGCAGGTCGTCAGGGAAGTCTCTGGTGACAGATTCCCTGCCACTGCTGGCCAGGTTCTTCAGCCACACGCCCAGTGTGTCGATGTCCAGGCAGCCGGGGAGGAAGGAGCCCATGCTGCTCATGTAGCACTCCCAGATGCGCTTCAGCTGGGCGCTCAGGTCCCTCTCCCCATCCAGCAGCACTTGGAAGTCAGAAGCAGCCTTCCCTGAGCTGGGAGGGCCCTGGCTCCTGAGGGCTGTGAGGACATCCTGCTTAGTGCAGTGGGGGTTGAGGAAGGAGAGCATCATAAGGGCAGCCTGGCTGGGGCTGCCACGGCCCAGCTCCGAGCACAGGTACACCAGCTGCTCCGCGCTGTAGTAGTTCAGATAGAAATGCTCACGTCGCCTGACATTCATGAAGCTTTTCCAGCTCTCCAGGAAACTCTCCATGGTCTTGCAGAGGGCTGGGAGCACAGCTGCCATATCCCCTTGCCCTTCCAGCACTGGGATGGGGCCCAGGGAGAAGTCTATAAGAACACAGGATTCTCTGTGAGGTGAACAATACACCTGGGCAAGCCAGGAGCGGAAAAGCATGTTCCCAGCTGAGTGAAGGTCTATAAAGGCCTGGGCAAGTCTCTGAACATTGGAAAAGACCTGTGAGAAGACAGAGGAGAAAGAAACAAGCTGATTTGCAAGTTTCAGCCATGAAACCCCTGGAAAGACATTCAATGAAGAGAAAGTCTTTGGTCCCAAAGTATGTCAGGCCTTGTACAGCAACCACAGACTCTCTGTGACTTTTTAACAGCGCCAGCCCCAGGAAATCAGTAAGGAACTCCCAGCTTGCTACAAAATTACAGTGATGCTGCCAGCCAGGACAATCGCCAGTGCAGCCAGAGGATAAGGCCACCAGCTCACTCTTCTGTCTGCAGCTCAGTTCCATCTTAGCAAGGAACCACAGGCAGGAACACCCATGTGCCTAGGACCACCACCCCCAGCAACTCCACTGTCAACCACAGCCTTAAGAATCTTACACTCAGGGGTAAAACCAGCCCTGGCTCAAAACCAGTTACCCCCTGGCTTTGGAATCTGACCTCAGAGAACCTCTCCACCTCCAGACCTTGCTCTCCCTTGGCTGACATGAGCATCAGTTTGTTCTGCAGCTCACGGAGCTCTGCCAGCGAGTACTTCCAGGAGGCCTCAGTGTCCCCTGAGGTCGCTGGGAGGGTGAAGTGCAGGACACTGTCCAAGGAGACCTGCCAAGAGCAGATGCTGTCAGCATGGCTGGGGCTGAGGTTCTGCCCAAGGCCAGGGCAGCAGCCCCAAGGCAGGAGGGGCAGCGGGAGCTGAGTGATCTCAGCCTCACCTTCTGGCCATCAGCTGGTGCCCTCAGCACATAGACCCCTCTGCTGTTGATGGCAGCTGCCAGGGACAGTGAGGACAGCTCCACAGAGCCATGGCTCTCCTTCACTGTCTTTAGCCACTCCAGGTGCTGAGCTGAGGCACGCTGTGGGGAGAAGAAACACAGCACTGTCCCGACTGCTCTGAAATCTGATCTCTGCTTACACCTGACCAGGACAAACAGCTTGGGCTGTTTCATGATGGGGAAGGAAGAAAGGAATGAGTACTGGCTTCAGCCTGCCCTTTCTGCACAGCTCTGCCTTACCCACTCCATAGGAGGCTGAACAGAGCCCACAGTGCTCCATCACCTCTTGCTACAGAGGCAGGCCCTGCTGCAAAAGGATAAGAGCTCCCAGGCACCTGCCTTCCCTCTTTCACACCATCAGACCTGCATGAGCCAAGCCACACACCACGCTGGAAAGTCTCACAGCACTCTGGAGAAACCTGTGCTACACCAGCTACAGTTGCTGCAGTGACGGGAACATCAGCCGTTTTTCCTCCAATAACAAGAGCAGCAGTAATGCCCCCACACAGGTGCCTTTTGCCCAGTGCAGCCCAACCTCCAGCCACTTCTGGAAGGCAGAAGGGCAGGAGGATGCAAAGACCCTGCTCCAGCAGAACTCACCAGTTTCTCAGGGAGGGTCTCATCGCTGTCCAGGGCTCGCCACAGCTTTGGCAAGCAGCTCATGAAGTCCTTGAAGCCCGAGTCCTGGCGGAGCTCGTAGAGCAGGGAGGAGTAGCCGTGCACAGCGCCGTGGAAACAGGCCACACGGTCCACGTCCATGTCATTCTCCCCCGCTGAGATAGAGGCCAGGTCAACAAATACCTTCAGCTCATTTATGTCTGAAACAGGCAACACAGGAGTGAGCAACATGTGAGGCAGCTTGGAGACCAGCCCTCACCACCACCCTCTACGGAAATGCCGGAAGAATGCTTTGAACAGCAGCTCCTGTGTAACTGCCCATGAGCTTTCCCAGGCCATCCATCCACGGACCCCCACAGACCCCCAGATCCCCGGGTAGGATGGGATCGGTGCCTGGGAGTGTGTGCAGCTGACGGTGTCCGTGCAGGTCAGACAGCTCAGCTGGCAGACACACAACACCATCCCCTGAAACAAGAGGTCTGAACTGAGCAGCAGCAGCTGCTGAAGCCCTCCAGGCCCAGCCCAGCCCCCAGCAGGGTGGTCCCTGTGCGCTGCACCAGTGCATGGGCACGCTTAAAGCATCCTCATAGCATGTTCTACACCAAAGCCCAACAGAGATGTAACTCTCAACACCAGAAGCTGCAAAGGCACAAAGCACATGGGTCAGGGATTCAGTGTTCCTTCTGCCCCCACACAAACTGCCATCCCTTCTAGAACTCTCTGTCTAATTCCTGGGTGAGCAGCACACACCTTTCAGTGCTTCTCTGACCCAGCAGACAAATTTCTTCTGCTGGGCAAGTTCCCTCAGACAGCTACAGCGGGGCACAGTGATCTCCTGCAGCAGCTTCTTGGTGTCCATGAGCTCATGGCTGATGGAATCCAGCTTCTGGGTCTTGTAGGATTCAAGCTTTTCTGTCTGGAAAGCAAGTGGTGCAAATACTCACTGAGTCTGGAATTGGGAAATGCCACTGGTTCTGCAGCAGGGAAAGGAAAGCCCTCTGCAAAGCTACACCCCAACAGAGCAGTATCATCATCTCTCTTTAAGGAATGACGACACAAAAGCACTTGGAACATCTGAATTCTACCTCAAATAAGCATTTTGGGATAAGGAATGACTCTTTACAGACTGGGATAGACTTGTGGGAAGGTTCGAATTTAGCCAACACCCTGACAGTAACAAGCCGAAGTCACGGATACTTACTATATGCAACAAGTTTTCCAGGATACTGAAGTCACCAGAGAGGTCTAAACTCTCTTTCACACGGTCAATGATCTTGGCAGCCTCACAGCTTAAATTCGTTGCATGGTACCACTGGATCTGCCGCACTCGCTCGTCAACCCAGCCTCTGTTCTCTGCAGGCCGAAGCTCACAGATGGTGTTCAGCTCTGCTGTGAGATCTTCAGGATCATTTCTGAATCCCTGGAAAATTCTATCAACTGCAAAAAGTGTGAGACTTCCTGATGTGAGTTCGTCATACAGCTTTGCATAGCTGTTAAAGCAAGGGCGGATCATGCTGTTCAAAATATCATTAAGGTCCAGCTCAGGAACAATCTCCTCCTCATTCTCCTCTGAAGAGTCACACTCATGCTTCTCTCCTACCTTCTCTACTGCTTCCTCCCAGAACTGCTGGAAGATAAGGCTGCCCTTAAAAAGGTGCATTTTTTGGACAAACTCTTTCAGCTCTGGGCTCAGGCTGTAGAAGGTCTGCAGGGGTATCTTTCCCACCATCACAACTTCCTCCAGTCTTTTTGAGCGAAGATCTACTGAGTATTGAAATTCCACCTCACCTAAAACCACTGTAAACCAGAGACAGGCCAGAGGGAGATCAGGTGATGCAACCTGGCTCCAGCTCACTTCATCCCATCCCCCAAGCCACAAAATGCTACTAGGCAGGTGGACCCCTCAAAGTGTCATTTGATGTACAAGCACTCACTTGACGCCCACCCAGTGCTCTGGGTTTACTTCCCCCACCCCTCCTCACCCTCACTTTGGGGCTTAGAATCAAACCTGTTCCCAAAGCCAAGAGATTTTAAAGGAAAATGCTGTTTTCCGGACTTGCCACTTTCAGACTGCTCCCCCAGAACTCTACCTCTCACAGGCTTCTGCATCCCCCGGCACATTCTCAGGAAGGTTCCTATTTCTTCTTTCTCTCTTCTGAGCTGTGTGACTTCTTTGTGCCTCAATGCCAGAACTCCTTTCAGGGCTCTCTGGAAGCGCTCCTTTTCCTCACTTGGCCATTGCTGGTGCTCTGAAAGAAAACTCACCTGTAGTCACAAAGCAGACTTTTCCCAAGCCCTGCATCCCAACTCAGGTTGGGAACTGCAGAGTCACAAACCCTGCAGTGACAACACAAACTGGAGCTGGGAGATCCCTGCCCAGGCCAAGGAACAGCACTCCAAACTACTGCAGCCCCTCCTAAGCATTCCCAACCCCTGCAGCCCCTCCTGAGCAGACCAGCATCACAACAGTGATGCTCCAAGCCAACCATGAACCCATCTCTTACTTGTCTCCCAAATGCAGAGGAACTGTTCCTCGTGCTGGAAAACCTCCTCCAGGTGTTTCACGAGGATGCAGCCGCTGTGAATGTCGTCGGTGACTCTTTTAAGTGCAGATTCTGCTATGGCCACGACATTCTTTGCTTCATCTGTGAGCTCGTCCAGAAGGTTTCCGTTTGTTTCTGTTCCACACACAAAGCATGTCACGTTTCCCAAAACACAGGCAGAATCAGGAACTTTTCCATGCCATGGCATGGAGTTCCTTCCATTTCCTACTGAACCCCTACCCAAGAGCCTGTGGACTCACACCACCCTCCAACCCCTCATGTCTTTCTGAACAAAACCAGGATCCCAGGACAGCAATGTGGAAACTTTTTCCATAGTTTCCAAAGAGCCCAGACCCAAACTGTGTGGGGCAAATAAAAGCCATTTGGATCCATTCACTTGGCCAACTCTTTGGCATTTTTGTGTGCCAATAACTTGTGAGAACTTCTCAGGGAAAGAAATTATGGTCCACAAATCCTGAGGAAGCTGTAGTGGATTAGCACAAGAGGAATAGTGGCTCCCTCTTCCTTGGCCTTCCCTCTCCAAACCCAAGCTGAATAGTTCAAGCTTTGAGATAGGGACTAAAATAAGAGCAGGACAATTTTTCTCTGCTGCTCTGTGCTGTGGCAGCAGTGAGGCAGAGAAAAGCTTCTCAGGGCCTCCTAAAACCCAACTACAGACCTACCTTTAAAGCTGAAGATCTGTTTGATGTCAGGCCATGTGAGCAGGTGGTGCAGAATTGTATCAAAATCCCCCTCAGACTGCCCAGCCCTGACTAGCCATGAGTTCACCATGACAGCAGACACGAGCTGGCTGAACTGGCCCATGTTGTAGGCAGAGATCTGCTCCAGGAGATTGCTCTGCATCTGCCAGGGCACACAGAGAGGGCAGGGGTGGGTCAGACTCTGGGGTCCCACTGTGTCTGTGTCTCAGAACTGGCACTGATGCCAAGGAGTCACCTCCAGTGCTGAGGAATATTCCAAAGCAGCCCTGTGACACAACTGACACCAGAGCTCACCGTGGAAACACATTACAAATATTCCCCATGGACCTCATTTCCTGATTTCTTGTTGATGTTTTTTGTTGTTGGTTTAACAATCCACAGCAACTCAAGCAACATGCACCTCCCCTCCCACCACAAGGCACATCCCTGTGCAACAGAATTACTGTGAAATCCCACTTTTCTTTCTCCCCCCTTCCCTACTTTTCTTTTCCCCTACCAAGGCACACACAATACCTGGCAAGCTGCAGGTACAGCCTCTAGGGCACAGCTCTGGAAGCACTGGCTGATGGAGGAGTCCATCTTTGTGATGTCCTGGTGCTGAGAACAGTACACCAAGATTTGTTTCACTGGAGACTCCTGAAGGGCAAAAGGGAGATTTCTCATCAACTCAAAGTGTCTCTCCTGGCAGCATGAAACAGTGATGCTATCAAGACAATAAAAGGAACCTGAGCATCAGCCCATTTCCAAGGGCCTGGGAGAGAGGTCAAACAAATAAATGCTTGGAAAATATTTTAATGATTTCCATCTAAAGTGTGTGATTACTTAATATCCACCTCTCCAAGCCAAGCTCACAGCAGAAAATAGTTGTTTCCTGACTTCACCATGAAAATCAATGGCTTAAGGAAATGTGTAACTGCTGTAGAAAGGAGATGAGGAGACATACAGTGTCAGTTTGGAAGGCACTAACACATGTGAGTGTGCATTTGGGAGCCTGAGCAGCACCATTTCTGCACAAGGAATAAAAAGAGAGGCACTAACTTGGCTTCTCTGAGCCCCTGGGTGTTTATTTTGCACTTGCTAGCTCTTAAAACCACAGAGGTGACAATTGTTCAGAACATGGATTTCCTCTGAAGCACCAGAACCTGCAGCCAGGCCACTGACCAAGATTACAGCGTGAGACATTATCATGGCCAACTGCTGAGCCTTCAGAACCTGGTTCATAACAGCAATAGCAATTGTTATGGCCAAAGCCACTGTGTTTACACATGCTCCTGCTCCAAGCACAGCACAAGTGTGGCGGTACCAGTTGTGAGTTTCTCTGGGTCTGGATTGAAGGCACTTGAGATGATAGTTTCATGTTCAGACTCAGGTGTTTATTATTTCTTACCAGTAAAACAGTCTCACTACTGTGAGTTCAGCAGCTTTTCATTAGAAGGCACAAAATGGCTAACAATCTCCTGTTACAAGGTCTTTTAAGACTAAACTATCCAATTAAGAACTGACACCTAGATTATTTTCCCTTTTAACCCAATAACTGATCCCAAAGAGCCCACAATACGAACTTTCTGCCCAGTTACAAAATGTCACCCAAACCCATGAAGAAGAAACCCAGGATGACACCCTGTGCCCTCCATCTTGCTTCCATCCACAACATACTAAAAATCCCAAAACCTAAATTTCTCAGCAAGTGATACACCTACACTACTCTCTACAACCTATTTCACACTTTTGTGGATTCTAGTCTATCTTGAAGTCTAGGAAGCTTTCTCCATGAATGACAGTCAAAGTCAGTGCTCCTCCAGGGGTCAGGACACCGCACAGCACTATTCTTAGTGCCCTGGGTTTCCACACACAAGTCACTCCATCTGCTCTGGACACCGGCCAAGGCTGCCTGGAGTCTCCCCTACCTGCTGGATTCTTTTCTTCAGATCTGCAAGTAAAGCGTTCCTCCATTTCTGGGTGAAGTTCTTATCTGGAAAGCTGATTTTCACAAACGTATCCCAGACCTGCAGGGGACAAGCAAACCAACCCAAACCATGGAGTGCTGAGATTTAATAGGAAAATTGAAAGAAAGGAAAATAAAAGAAAGGAAATTAAAAGAACAATGCAGAAGAGATGTCCCACACGCCTCAGACAGTCTGCAGCCCTTTCAGATGTTTCCATTCGGAGGAAAAGGAACACTCCCAGAGCTGCAAAAGGCAGCTTTTAAGCCCAAACAGTGTGCAAATGTCTCAGCTGCTGAAGGAGACATTTGGATGAGCCACTTCCACCCTGCTGCTGGAAACTGTCCCAAGGAGGGCCAGGAGCAGCAGCTCAGACTGACAGGGCTGCTCTGAGCTTTGCCTGCTGGAAGGCCTGAGGACAACCAGTGGGACACACTGGGAGCAAGATAACACCAAGGGGCAGCTCCTCACCCCAGCAATGCCTTTAGGAACAGCCAAGGAAGAGCAGAACGGAGGTGCGCTTCAAACACTGCCCATCCCCACCCCATTCCTTAGCCAGCCACAGCTACAGAGCCCAGCAAAGAGCCAGCAGACTCAAGACTCTGGCTAAGCTACAGTAAAATCCCTTTTTATTGACATTATCAGAAGATGACAAACCCCAAGTTCAGAGGAGAAAGAGAACACGCGGCCTGAGTACTTCTCCAGTAACTTGTGATGTAAAACCTTTCCGAACCAGGCACGAGTTTCCTTCAGAGCTCCACTGAGCAACTCTTCCATTGGAACTTCCTCCACAGCATCCCCTGAAACCTGCCCCACACGGAGGGGAAGACAACAAAATAAACACAGCTCAAGCAGGACAGCAATAGACAACTGATTTAAATCAGTATTTCTAAAGAGAAGACCAAAAGCATCCAGAACACACAAGAGCCCCGCAACAGACCCAGCACTGCTTGAATAACATGCAGAGAGAGGCTGGGAAAGCGCAGTGCCTACAGGCAGTAAGCTTAAGCTTCTTCCAGGAAGACAACAAATGTTTAAGGGGAAACAAAACCCAACTTAAAACAAAGCTTATCACAGCAAACCTGAGCATCTGACCTTATTTTCAATAAGAACCAAACTCATCAGGTGACTTCACACCTGTCTGAAAGTATCACAGTCTTGCTTAGAGTGTGAAGTTCTTCAAACAGAGACTGGATCTGACCTAAACCCAGTGTGTTGTGCCACACTTGTAATATTTTTGGGTACCTTGCTTGTATCAAGCCAAGAGTTCCTTGGTACTCACTGCTGGGGGCTGAAGCTGAGCAACCTCGGCAATCAGGGTGGCAGCAGTGGAAGGGATCAGGAACAACTCCACTGTCCTGGCAGCCTTGCAAAGCCTCTCGTGCAGCCTGAGGCAGCAGGACAAGCAGCACCACCAAGAAGGAGCCCCCAGAGGTCTGCAACACAGAGGGAGAGTGAATTTTCTGCTCCAAGGAAAAATTAAAAAATTAAAAACAAAGTAAAAACCCCACCAAATTCAATACAGTGTAGCAGCTACCTCCCTCAGATGGATTTAAAAGATGGGATAGAATGCCAGGATTTTTTTCTCCACAGAGATTTCAAGGCACACACGCAGGACCCCAGCCCTGGTGCAGAGGCAGACAATGCTCTCACAGAGGTGCACTGCACTTACCTGGCTGGGGGCTCACCCAAGGCGTGCTGCACTGTGTTTAGAATCCTCACTACCACCTGAGACCGGAAAGACAAAAATATGAGACTGGGGAAGAAATTTTACAGACTGATTTCTGATTAGCTGAGGAGGAGGGAACTCGGTATCCTTTCGCATCTTCTCCAACATTTTTACAAATACACTGTAAAATAGCAGAACTTATTTACTGGATGTCAGAGCCAATACCTGGGCAGCTTTTATATGCACAAACCCAACCTGTACTTCTTACAATTTCTGTTATTAGTTGCAAGGTCCTACTCCTGCTGTCCTCACACCAATACAAAAGTTTTCACAACAGCAGGAAATCTCCCAAACCAGCAGCCCCTTGCCCAACTCTCCTGTGCAAAAAAAACCTGTTTCAGGTACACGTCTGAGGAGGTCAGGATTAATACATCTGCCATCACTAACCAAGAGCAAATCCAGCTACGAATACCCTCCTCTTGTCAATACCAACACCACTTTTTGCTGCAGTTAAACCCCAACTCACCCCCTGAGGAGTCTCTGACTTCAGAGCAACTATTTTTGCTCTTAGCTAGGTTTGAAGCTCTTTGTGCTGTGACCTGCTGCCAGCCCCAGTCCCCTCAGTGATGGTCTGTTCTGCCAAAAGACACCCAGGAGCGCAGTTTGAGCCTCCATCCCAGAGCTGGGTAAAGCTGCCAGATGACAAACCTGAGAGCTATCCCATGAGAGCCCAACATTCTCCAATCTGTACAAAACACCTTGAAGAATAACTAGTGGGTCATTGCAGAAGTCTTTTATGAAGTCAGCCAGGCTCCACAGGGGCAGCACACAGAGCCAGGACTTAACCACAGTCCCATCTAATTCCACCAAGTATTTCTTTTCTCTCATTCGTGCCAGCAGGGTCCCTCTGGAAGGGAGACAAAAGAAAATCTTCAGGATTCCAGGGAACAAAAGGCTGTGAGCTTGTGCAGCCCACAGAGGAGTCTCCTCCATTCCTGTGCTTTTGTCCCTGCAGCTGAGATCAGTGGGAGTCCCCAGGGCCCAGGGGTAGCACAGCAGAACCAAACCACTGAGCACAAGCACTCAGGGAAAATAAACTCCAGGTGTTGCTCAGACTCTACACAACAGGAGCAGCTTTAGCTCTCACCTGCTCCCTGGCTGGCAGAACTGGGGGGTTGTGTTTGTGGGGTCACACAGTGCCCAACTGGGCTACACTCAGTGACCTCTGAGCCACCAGTGTGGCTGTGCCCAAATACCCCAAACATCCTCCCTTAACAGGCTACATTTCATACTCTTTAAAAATGAGGGAGGGGAAAAACAAAAAGAGAGATTAGGAGGGCACTGGGAGGAACTGGGAGCTCTGGAAAACTCACACATCCCGCTTCCTCCTGGTTTCAGCAAATGGAAGCCCTTCCAGCCCTGCCCAGGCATCCTCTTCCACCAGCTCTTGATCCTGCTGCAGGGGAGCAGCAAAGGAATGCAGAAGGGGAAGGACCCACACCCACTGGTCTACGTCACATTCAATGCACCTCTGGCAAAGGTCTGTCAGGTCAACCTTCAAGCTAAATAAAAAAAAAAAAAAGAAAACAAAACAAAGACACTGAGTGAAAGAACAGCTTTATCCTGGCCTTGAGAATGAAATGTAGCCTCCCACACCCCTAGGGCAATCTCCCTATGCACCTTCAATTAACCTCTGGTCATTATTTTAGCTCCATCTACTATTCATTGCAGAGTGTACCTGTCCAGGCTTAAGGCCCAGAGCTGCAATGTTACTGAATCTCTCTGCACAGATCCTGCTGCTGGAGCACTGGGAAGACCCAATCCTTTACCTGCAGTCTCCCCACGAGCCCCCCCAGCTCTGTGACACCCACACAAAGAAGGACTCCAGAAAGAAATGCAATGGCTGCAGCTGTGTGAGTGAAGAACTCCAAATCCAGTTCCAGGTAAGCAGTCAGATTACAACCTGACAAACAGGCACTCCAGGGGAAACCAACCAAAAAGTGTTGAATGATGCACTACAACCTTGCCTGGATATTAGCCCTGCTTCAAGCAGGAGGCTGGAACTGAGATCTCCAAAGATACCTCCAAATGTAACTTTTTTCCTAGCAGTAGCGAGCTGGATTCCTGTTGCTTTATCAAAGCAACACCAGCCTGGTCAGTCAGAAGGTATGTGGAGCACTTACTTGGAAAGTCCTGCAAAAGCCTGTTTGATATGATCAATCTCATTCTGTACATCTTGTGGTGACACCTGATCCAAGCACAGGAGGCTGCACAGGTCAGCAAGGTCACTTTTAGGTACTGAGACTGAACAGTTCTCAACTACCACAAGAATGGTGAGTCCCACAGCCAATTTGCTTTGGATGACTCTGTCCTCTGGAGCTGCTTCTCGTGCAAGGAAAGGGAGAGCTATTTTCTTCACATATTTTAGCAGCAAATCATTCACCTGGGATAAAGAAGAGAAGAAACAAACCAAGCATAGCATTAATCTTTCTCTTCTGAAGTCAATGTCTTCTGCCAGTTCCAGTGAGGCCACAGGACAGGAAGGAGCAGCCCTGAAAACCAAAAAAGACAAATGTCTTTTTTGGTGGCATTTCTGTCACATTTCCTAATTATGCCAAATAAGAAATTTTGGATTCCATAAACCCTACTGGCATCACTGCTTAGAAAAGGATCAGGAGCTTCTCCCAAAAAGGAGGCAGGTTTGGAGCAAGAGATGACTGCAGAGAAGTTGTAAGTGACAGAACAACTGGCAGCAAAACTCAATGGCAAGGTTTAGGAAATCAATACCCAGACACAAAACCCACTCAAGTATGAAGTCACCATGTCACAGCCCTGCTGCTGACCCCCATGGGGTCTCAGAACCACACCGAGGTGCACAGGCTGACTGAAGCCCTCAACACAGTCAGTGACAGCCACCCCAGAAGGATCTCCACTGCTTCTGTACCTGAACTTTGACTGGAAAAGCAAAATTAGCCCAGTGAAGTCAACAGCAAAATTAAAGTTTGTTTTCAGTAACAGAATGTTTTCTGTCTCTGCAAGAGAAGGGATTACCTGCTCTGTGCTGAAGTTTAGCTCTTTCCATACCATTGCCTCACCATCAAACACCCGCTGGCCTACTGCAACGTAATGGAACTGCCTCAGCTGACAGAAGAAATTCCTCAGACTGCCAGGACTCCAGGTCCCAAGAATGCTGAAGATACTTTCTAACATAATATCAGCAGCAATTTTCTTCCCCTCCACCAGTTCTTTGTATTTATCAGAACTAAATTTCTGCTGCAAGTTTTTCTTCGTGGAAGGCTTTGCACACACGATGTCATCGTACTGGTGCCACTCTAGAACAGCAACACAAGGAGAACACAGGAAAACAACCATTGCAATCAGGTGCCTTCTCCCTTCCAGCTGCCACAGCAATACCCCCAGCAGGCCACTGAGCTGCCAGCTTCAGTTAGGGCTGCCTGCCAGGAATGCTGGGCCATAGGACAGCAGGGATCACCCCAAGGTGCAGGTCCAGCCAACAGAGCTCACCTCCATTTTGGAGGAGTCCACTGTTTATCAATAAGCAGCGATTCACAGATTTATGGGATACTGAATTCTTGTAAATGAACTCATACTCCCCCTTCCCACAGGTCACCCAGTACTTGTAAGGAATGTATTTATCCAGGATTTTTCTGCTGAGAGTTACAGCACCTTCAATGAGGTATCCATGTTCTTCCAGATGCCTTGGAAACACAAACACAGCAAAGGCAGGCAAAGGACATGTTAGCTGATCTACCGACCTCCTTTTCCATGCATTGCTCCATTTTTAACAGGAATGGTGACTGTTCTTTCACACAAACACATTAGAACAGTTTTCTCCACCGTGAAACCCTTTGCTGTAACCCCCAGCTGTGGGCACAGAGCCACCCCTTGCACAGTGGCTGAGGCCCCAGAGGGACCCTGTTCTCACAGCAGGGAACACTCACCGGATGCAGTTCAACTCACAGATGTTGTCCTTCCAGTCAGCATAGGAAGGAATGTCCTGAGCCCTGATGAACACTTTATGGGTATTGGGGTTGAGCTTGAAGTCTTTGGATAATATTGCATGGAAATGCACTGTAACACCCTCATTGCGGCTCACAGAACTGCAGGAAAGAATTGGAAGGGAAATAGAAGAGATTTTGTCAGGATTTTTTAATTGCACAAGTCACTGTAGACCTCAAATCAGACTCGATTTGAGACCAGCTGAGTGGCTGCAAGATCCATAAACTCTGGCAGCAGTTCACTCAGACTGATGTTTGAGCAGGCCTAGTGCAAAGCCCAGTGCAAAAAGGAAAAATGGGCTCCTAAAGGCAGCAGGAGATGCTCTGGCCCAGCAGAGTCACCTGGAATGGCCACACTTTCCACCCCTTCCAGCTCATACACATTAAGCAGAACATCAAAACAGCTCTTCACACTATTCACCTGAAGCATTTTGTGTGTGAAGCATATGGTGCTCTTTAGAGCAAGAAGTAAGAGAATAATCTCTTTTTTATCCATCAGATGCTCAAGCAGGTTCAACACATCACCTAGGACAGCACAGGACCTGTGCTGGGGCTCCCATTCAACACTGGTTCTGTCGTGCACAACCACTTCACCTCAGTTTCAAGACAACTCCATTTCCACATATCCAAGGTACATACTGACCCAGTCCCAGCACCTCAGTTTGGAGTCCTGAGTCCTCCTCACAGCAACTCCTGTTAGGGAAGAACGCTGGGAGCAGTAGGGCCGTTCTCACCTTTCTTTAACCTTTTCCACAGGTTTATGGTTCCTTTGTTCATTTTTGTTCTTGGGGCTGTCTGCTGCAGCCACAGCACCCTCCTTTCTGGCAGCCTCTGCTCCTTGGCTCCAACTTGTCTTCTCACTCATGTTGGGCATTTTCGCACATGGGGTCAGATTTTTCTCTTTTGTGTTTGCATGCTGCAACAGGGAGACAAACAATGCCCAATGAAACAGGAGACCCTGGAAGCACACCATCTCCTCATGGTGTGTTGGCAATTGAAAGATGGCAAGAAGCCATTTATTGTTTCTACAATTCCATTTATATACTCTTACAGCTTTAGGTAAAATTTTTCACTGCTAAGCAATAACCACATTATTCACATTTCTTAGCTACACTGCTTAACCACAGTCTTGTACCTGCAGTCTTGCATGACTTCCTTTAAACAAAGCAACTTTCCTTTTTGTTTCCTCCCTTACATTTCTGTTTGATGTTCCCAGGGCTTCTGGCCCACCAGAGTCAAGATGTCCACATCACCCATCAAGCTGGGCAGTACTTTCTGCTCTTCTGCCCATCTGCCCCCCAGCACTGGTGCACCACCAGCTTCATCCTCCTGGAAGCACTGATCCCTCACTGAGGGAAGCCGCTGGCTAAGGAAAACAGCTCATGATGGAAGAGAAGCCCAACCCAAACACACTGCCACACAGTCAGCTCAGTGAGCCCCAGGATGGAGCATAAAGAAAGTGAAAGAGAAACCACAGCAACTTCCAGCTTTCCAGGCCTGTGTATGAACAGAGCACAGGCACCTGCAAAACACAAAATCCCCTTGTACAAGGGGATCCCAGAGCCCTCCAGACAGCAAGGCTGGCTGGAGAAGAGACACCTGCCAGTCCTGGGGGCATCTGAGCCACCACTCAGTGAAAGCTGGGCTAGAACTGACACCCAGGAGAACAGAACTCAAATTAGAGCCTTCCCATAGTCGTCCCCAATTCACCCCTGCATGCCTGGGCTGGTGCTCCTCAGCCTCACTGACAGCACAAGCAAGTCACACCGACAAAGGGAAGCTGTGCCCACTGGGACACTCACCAGAGCTCACTCACACTCACCTTGACAGTGGAACTGGTCCCTTCCTGCTTGGGCTCCTTCCCAGCCTGCGGGCTCTGAGCCCCAGGGGAGGTCTTGGTTTCAGGCTTGTTTTGGGGGGCTCCTTTGGCAGGAGGCAGCCCAAAGGAACTCACTTCCTGCCCTGCTGACAGCAGCTCCTTGCTGCTGCCCCAGGCCTGGGAACCTGCTGTGGCTGCTGGCAGCTGGTCAAGGGCACCGCTGCCCCATTCCACATTACCCCTGGCTGTTCCATCCCCCACCTTGTTCCTTGGGACTGCAGCCCTGGCTATGCTGCTCTGCTCTGCAAGGCTCAGCCTTTCTGCTTCCGGGCTGCCAGCTTCCTTCTCCACGTGTGCCAAATTCCTGTTGCCTTCAGGTGCATCTCCACTGGCACCAGTGCATCCATCAGCACCTGGGTTTGCTCCCTCACAGCCGGGGTGTTGGATTTCCTGAGGAACAACATATGTGTCAGGCAACTCTGTGGTTTGAGGAGGCAGAGTGTCCTGTCCCCCAGAGATGGACGTATATTTCTTTGCTTTATTCTTGTTCTCTTTCTATTAAAAAAAAGAAAAACAAAGACCACAATGTCTTTTTATTCACGGCCAAAGGGAAACTCTTTGTCACCTCCTCCATTGCAGCAAGTGCCGACATCTTCCTGCTACACAGCGCTAACAGAGAACGATCAGGAAGAGGAGGGACAAGACCAGCCAGTGAAATGCAAATAAGTCTTGAGAACTGTGCAGGTTTAATATTCAAGATTTGCTCAGCAGGAGCACAGAGCAGTGCAGCAGTGTCTAAGCTGACTCATGTAATTTGTGGTTTCCCCCTCCCGGCACTGCAGCTCCACATGCACAACACAGCGTCAGCAAACACAGCAAGCTTCTCCTGGAGGAAGCCAGGCAGCAGCTCCCTGACGTGGCCAAAGGGATGTGGGGGATGCAGCCTGGCCTCCTCACTTCTAGCAAGAGAGCAATAAGTCACAGCTGCTCCCCAGCACCCAGCAGGATCCACACCTTCTTCAGCAGAGGAACCACTTCAGCAGAGTCACCAGCTCCACGATGAGCTGAGGGCTCTGCATTGTCCTCTGAAGCTGTGACATACTCCTCTTCCTCCTCCCATGTCTCAGCAGAGCTGAGAGATCCACCTGCAGTGTTGGAGGTGTTGGGCAGAGCTCTTGCTCCATCCATCAGCGACTTGCCCTCTGTCTCCTTTTTTTCAGTGGTGGAAGGAGGCCCAGCAGTACCTTCTCCCTTCACCTCTTCCTCTGCATCAGGGACTGCAGGGACCTGCACCTCTCTTCTCTCTGCAAAGGAGGGAAATTAATCGTTAAACTGGAAACTCACCCCCCAGTGGAGTCGCAGGATGGTTTGGGTTGGAAGGGAATTTAAAGCTCATCTCATTCCACACCTGCCACAGGCAGGGGCACCTTGCACTGGACCAGGTCACTCCAAGCCCCTGGATGGGGGAGAGCATCAGAAAAAAAGGCAAAACTTGTGGGTTGAGATAAACACAGTTGAATAGGACAGAAAAGGAAAATTACAGTAACCATAAAGGAATATCCAAAGCCCATGATGCACAGGGTGCTTGCTCACCACCCTCTGAGCAATGCCCAGCCAGCTCCTGAGCAGTGGCCCTCATCCCTCAGCCAAATCACCCCAGTGTTTCCTTCAGCACCATGCCCTGTGCTCTGCAACATCCCTCTGGGCACTGGGGCAGCTCTCCTGGCTCTGCCCCCTCCCAGCTCCTCGCTGCCCAGGCAGCCTGGGAGCCTGAGAAGTCCTTGGCTTCGTGTAAGCACTGCTCAGCAGCAGCTGAGCCATCAGGCTGTTATCAAGAGCAGCCTCATCCTGAACTCAAACACAGCTCTGAACCCGCTCCTGGAAACAAGAAACTCTGTCCCAGCTGAAGTCCAGACATGAACACACAGGAGCTGTTTGTTGTCCCCTGTTCAGCTCCCACCAGCAATACTCTCCCTATACAGCTTCCTGCACTCTCAAAGGCTCTGCCAGCTGCAGAATAATTAAGGAACCACAACACCGAGGTAGAGCTCCATCCCTGTCCCTCCTGTAGACACAAATGCAGCAGCAGTGCTGGCAACCAGCTGCCTGTGCCAGTGCCTGGAACCCAGGAAAAGCAGTGACAGGACAGTGGAACCTCCCAGCTGGCACAGCCTTCTGTGACCGCTCCCGCTCAGCTGATGCCTTTCCAGGAAGGCAGAGGAAAACTCCCTTTTTATCTTCACACGCAGTATTGCATTTTGTTTAAATGGTACGCTCTGTCTCACCCCTCCAAAATGTATGGTATATCCTAAGCCTGTGGTCCTGCCCTGAACCATCCTGTATCTGTAATCCCATTGGCCCAAGTCTGATTCCGCGCCCACTACAATCTCCCTCTTAAGCTGCGCTAGTGAGACCAATCCCTCTCTTAGCCTTTCCCTTCTCTTATCCTTCCTCCCCTCTTGCCCCTTCCCTCCCCTAGGCTCCCCCCCATTTCCCCTCCTCCTTCCCCCTTCTCCCTCAGTAGCCATGCTGTTCCCGGGGGTGGGACCCCCAATAAACTCTCATCAATCAGCACCCTCAGAAGCCGTGTGGAGTCTCCTTGCCTGCCTGCTGCTGCCAGCCAACTCACAGCCTAGGGGGCCCTCCGGGGACAGCCCGGGGTCCCAAAATTAACCACAACATTCACACCTTTATCCAGTCCTTCAAAACCACGTGGAGGGGCAGCTCCGGGCACAGTCAGGCAGCAGAGCAGATCTCTGCCTTCTGAGGGGTTTAACAGGCTTCTCCACACTGCCTCCACCCCAATTCTGAGAGCAAAAATGTTGAACCTCCGCTACTTTGGATGTTCTTCCTACAGCATTCCAGAGCTGGAGATCCCAGGTTTGTAACCCTGCCATTCTGGAGTGCAGAGGGATTTGCTAAGAACTGACCCTGTTGTGACTGCAGCAGCTTGATTCTGATTTAGTGTTTTTTTCTAGGATCACATTCTGTCAACAAACCAAAAGCCATTCTGGTGGACCAGGTCATCTGGTCTTAAACAAGAAAGGGATTAGGAAACATTTCCCCCAGCACAACCGTGTTGTGCACTCGATTCTGTCTCTATTCAGAGAGGCAGAATTAGCGTCTTGTCAAACACAACTCGGGTGAGTTCTAAATCTAAAAACAAGCTGCAAATCAGAAATTCTGTGTCAAGAAGGACTTGACCAGTCTTTTAACATAAAAAAACTGCACTACTTCATTGGCAAAACAGAAACCAGTTCAACACTGGAGACCTGAGTGTGGAGACTGTGTAGGATGTGTCACCAACTCAATCACTTCTCTGTCTCCCGACTGCCAAGTGAAAACTGTCTCAGATCAGGTATGTCAGGGGAGGCTGAGATGAGAGATTGGGAGGGGAGTTTGGGACTAGAGCAGTGTGGAATGAGCTGGGCAGAACAGAGCCCGGAGCCACACGGGCACCAGAGGTGATACAGGCAGCCTCTGCCCAGTGTGCAGCCCCAGGGCTGCCCGGCCCGGCCGAATCCCGGGGCCCAGCGCGGCCTCACAGCCAAGGGGGACAGACAGGGCCGCGGCAGAGACACAAACACCAGCACAGCGTGAGGCAACACAGCCGTGTCACGTCCTCCTCTGCCTGTTTTATTGTCAAGAAGCGACCTGCGACACTGGAGAGCCGGGCTGGGAGCGTGAGGGGAACCACAGTGCTTAAAGGCAACGAACACAAACAGCGAGCGCTCCCCCGCGCTGCGGGCCCGTGCTTCCACCGAGGGCCCGGCTCTCCTTCCCGAAGCCCTGCCTGGGGCTGCTCCCTGGGGCTGGGCCGCGACCGGGAGTCTAGTTCCAGCGGCGGGGCCGGGCGGGAGCGGGAGCGGGGCCGGGCGGGAGCGGGAGCGGGGCTGAACCTGAGCCGTGGCCGGGACCGGCTGCTGGGGCGAGTCCCGGCGCTAAGCCTTGGCCGGGAGCGGATCCCGGGGCGGGTCCCGGGCGGGTCCCGTGGCCGTGGCTCGCCGCCCGACTCGGCCCCGCCCGGGGCGGCGCTGCCCCGTGGCCCTGTATGGAAGTGAGACCGCTACGTGATGGGCGGGGCTAGCGCGGCTCCCGAGGGACCCCGAGGTGGGCAGGGAGATAACCAGAAGGCCCGGGGAGGGGGACACGAAGAGAGCACGGGAGCGGGAGGACATTGGGGAGAGACACGGGGACAGCCGGACTGGACACGGGGGGTGGGGGGACCGAGGGGGACACGGGGGGATACACGGGATAGGGGCGTCCCGAGTTAACGGGGAGGAGATGGGAGTCCCCAGGGACGCACCGGAGGGCTCCGGGCGGATCAGGGATCAGGGTGCACGGAGGCGCTTCGGGGGCACCGCGAGGGTGCAGCGGGGCCCGGAGCCCGCAGCGCCGCCTGCCCCGGAGCCGCGGCTGCCCCCATCCGCACCGGAGCCCCCTTAGCCCAGGCCCGGCGCCCCGTGCCGCCACTCGCCGCCCCGGCAGCGCGACTCATCTGCCTGTTTTATTGTCAAGAAGCGACCTGCGACACTGGAGAGCCGGGCTGGGAGCGTGAGGGGAACCACAGTGCTTAAAGGCAACGAACACAAACAGCGAGCGCTCCCCCGCGCTGCGGGCCCGTGCTTCCACCGAGGGCCCGGCTCTCCTTCCCGAAGCCCTGCCTGGGGCTGCTCCCTGGGGCTGGGCCGCGACCGGGAGTCTAGTTCCAGCGGCGGGGCCGGGCGGGAGCGGGAGCGGGGCCGGGCGGGAGCGGGAGCGGGGCTGAACCTGAGCCGTGGCCGGGACCGGCTGCTGGGGCGAGTCCCGGCGCTAAGCCTTGGCCGGGAGCGGATCCCGGGGCGGGTCCCGGGCGGGTCCCGTGGCCGTGGCTCGCCGCCCGACTCGGCCCCGCCCGGGGCGGCGCTGCCCCGTGGCCCTGTATGGAAGTGAGACCGCTACGTGATGGGCGGGGCTAGCGCGGCTCCCGAGGGACCCCGAGGTGGGCAGGGAGATAACCAGAAGGCCCGGGGAGGGGGACACGAAGAGAGCACGGGAGCGGGAGGACATTGGGGAGAGACACGGGGACAGCCGGACTGGACACGGGGGGTGGNAAGAAAGGGATTAGGAAACATTTCCCCCAGCACAACCGTGTTGTGCACTCGATTCTGTCTCTATTCAGAGAGGCAGAATTAGCGTCTTGTCAAACACAACTCGGGTGAGTTCTAAATCTAAAAACAAGCTGCAAATCAGAAATTCTGTGTCAAGAAGGACTTGACCAGTCTTTTAACATAAAAAAACTGCACTACTTCATTGGCAAAACAGAAACCAGTTCAACACTGGAGACCTGAGTGTGGAGACTGTGTAGGATGTGTCACCAACTCAATCACTTCTCTGTCTCCCGACTGCCAAGTGAAAACTGTCTCAGATCAGGTATGTCAGGGGAGGCTGAGATGAGAGATTGGGAGGGGAGTTTGGGACTAGAGCAGTGTGGAATGAGCTGGGCAGAACAGAGCCCGGAGCCACACGGGCACCAGAGGTGATACAGGCAGCCTCTGCCCAGTGTGCAGCCCCAGGGCTGCCCGGCCCGGCCGAATCCCGGGGCCCAGCGCGGCCTCACAGCCAAGGGGGACAGACAGGGCCGCGGCAGAGACACAAACACCAGCACAGCGTGAGGCAACACAGCCGTGTCACGTCCTCCTCTGCCTGTTTTATTGTCAAGAAGCGACCTGCGACACTGGAGAGCCGGGCTGGGAGCGTGAGGGGAACCACAGTGCTTAAAGGCAACGAACACAAACAGCGAGCGCTCCCCCGCGCTGCGGGCCCGTGCTTCCACCGAGGGCCCGGCTCTCCTTCCCGAAGCCCTGCCTGGGGCTGCTCCCTGGGGCTGGGCCGCGACCGGGAGTCTAGTTCCAGCGGCGGGGCCGGGCGGGAGCGGGAGCGGGGCCGGGCGGGAGCGGGACCGGGGCTGAACCTGAGCCGTGGCCGGGACCGGGTGCTGGGGCGAGTCCCGGCGCTAAGCCGTGGCCGGGAGCGGATCCCGGGGCGGGTCCCGGGCGGGTCCCGTGGCCGTGGCTCGCCGCCCGACTCGGCCCCGCCCGGGGCGGCGCTGCCCCGTGGCCCTGTATGGAAGTGAGACCGCTACGTGATGGGCGGGGCTAGCGCGGCTCCCGAGGGACCCCGAGGTGGGCAGGGAGATAACCAGAAGGCCCGGGGAGGGGGACACGAAGAGAGCACGGGAGCGGGAGGACATTGGGGAGAGACACGGGGACAGCCGGACTGGACACGGGGGGTGGGGGGACCGAGGGGGACACGGGGGGATACACGGGATAGGGGCGTCCCGAGTTAACGGGGAGGAGATGGGAGTCCCCAGGGACGCACCGGAGGGCTCCGGGCGGATCAGGGATCAGGGTGCACGGAGGCGCTTCGGGGGCACCGCGAGGGTGCAGCGGGGCCCGGAGCCCGCAGCGCCGCCTGCCCCGGAGCCGCGGCTGCCCCCATCCGCACCGGAGCCCCCTTAGCCCAGGCCCGGCGCCCCGTGCCGCCACTCGCCGCCCCGGCAGCGCGACTCACCGAGTGACCGGGCACGGGTACGGGCACCACCACCTGCAGCGCCCGCTCGTCCTGCCGCCCCGCCGACTCCCGCCCGGACAAGTTGAGTTTGTCCGCCGAGCCGCCAACTTTCGTTTTTACAGGCACGGTCCCCACCCAGCCCCAGACCACCCCGGCCAATCCCGGCCCCGACCACCCCACCGCTCCCGGGCGGGGTCCCCCGCGGTACCCCCCGAGCATCCCCCCACCCATCAGCCCGGTGCAGGAGCTCCCGGCCGGCGCAGGGAAGCAGGCAGGACCCAGCAGCAGCGGTGAGGGCAGGTGTGTTGGAGAAGAGCACTTTGTCCTGGTCCCGACAACCAAAAGCGGATTCCGCAGTCAAAAGAGGGGGCACGGCTGGTGCCTCATCCCGGATCCGACAAGGACCGAAGACGGGCTCCCAGCAGCCCTGCCCTCCACCAGTGCTCACACAGGTTTGAGCACACACATATTCCTAAACAACCAGTCCATTTTACCCACCCCCTGCCCCTCTTTTCCCCCTCCCGGCATACACACAGCTCAGTGCACTCCAGGGCAGGACCCAGCGTCCTGGCAGGTGTGTGGCTCCCGGCCACCTGTGTCGCCCTTCCAGCTCCTCCGGCAGCAGGAGCTGTGCAGAATGTGCCCTGGGGCTCGGCTCACCCGCACTGCCCCAGCTTGCTTTCGGTTTCTTTTCCCCAGCACAAAGATAAGGAGCAGCCCACAGACAAGGATAAAAAAAGGTAAGGCTAAGTAAGAATAAAAATCAGTAAGGAGTACAATCCCAGATGTTTTCCCTCTCCTCAGGTGGAGGCTGAGCCCCCGTGTCTGCTTGGAGGGCAGCACAGCAGCCCTGAAACAGCTTTGAGAGCTTACCAAGCATCACCACTGGAGCGGCCCAGAACATGAAAAAGGTCCAGAATTAAATAGTTGTTTAAAAAATGTCAGCAGCTCCCTGTAGGAAGGATGGCTTTGCATTGGTCACTGTAACAAGGAACAGTTTTGTCCCACAGCCTGTGTGGTGTTGGGCTGACACTGCTCTGTCCGTCTTGGTGTGGGACATGGGGACAGTCCATCCCCGTGCCCAGGATGGGGCAGTGGCTCCCACGGAGGGTGTTGGTGTCACTGGGGTGGCACAGGACATTCAGCCCAAACTGGTCTTACTGGATGAGTCCGGTGCTCTTGGCAGTGCGGGCAAAGGGCTTTGCCCTGCTGCCCCCCAGCTCTGCTCCCCTGCACTGTTCTGGGACAGGATGGGGGGAAGCAGAGTCAAAGCAAGGCTCATGTCCTGGCTCTGCCTGGGACGGAGGAAATTTTCTTCCCAGGAGTGGGTTCAGACCTATGTTTGAGTTCAGGATGAGGCTGCTGTTGATAACAGTGTAATATATGATTTGAAATAATTAGTGCTTATGTGAAATATATGAGAAATATACGAGAAATAAGTTATGCTTGAAAGAAATATTCTTAGAAGTTTTAAATCCACAATCCACATTGTGAGAGTGCCTCACAAAATCGCAAAACCACAGATGGCATGCATTCCAATGCCAGTTCCCCTAACTTGACAACGGCATATGTGCATTCCAATGCCGGTTCCCGTAACTTGACGTCAGCATTCATCACTTACCGGAAACTGTTTTGTCCAGCCCAACACAGAGAAAGGAGACTACGTGAATATGTGAAGCCATGAAAAGAAAAGGAGAGACTCTGCCCCAGGCTGAATAAACTGTATAAAAACTACCCTTTGTGAACAGAGAGCATCCGAAGCAGTAGAATTCAGATCAGAGTTCACCCAGCGCTGATCCCGGGCTCGATGCTGTCCCTTTGACTGTGGCTATCGGAGACCATACCTCCGTCGTGAAATAAAATCTATTTTTATTAATTACTAATTTGGCTTTATCGATTACTACCTATAACAACAGCCTGATGGCTCAGCTGCTGCTGAGCAGTGCTTACACGAAGCCAAGGACTTCTCAGGCTCCCAGGCTGCCTGGGCAGCGAGGAGCTGGGAGGGGGCAGAGCCAGGAGAGCTGCCCCAGTGCCCAGAGGGATGTTGCAGAGCACAGGGCATGGTGCTGAAGGAAACACTGGGGTGATTTGGCTGAGGGATGAGGGCCACTGCTCAGGAGCTGGCTGGGCATTGCTCAGAGGGTGGTGAGCAAGCACCCTGTGCATCATGGGCTTTGGATATTCCTTTATGGTTACTGTAATTTTCTTTTCTGTCCTGTTAAACTGCCTTCATCTCAGCCCAAGAGTTTTACCTTTTCTCTCATTCTGCCCCACTCCTCTTCACGGGGAGTGAAGGGCTCCGTGGTGCTGAGCTGCTGCTGAGTTGCACCACCAGTGCTCACCATGAATCCCCAAGGCTGGGGAGACCCAGTTCTTGGGAGGGGCTCCAGCTCACCCTCTCAGGAGCCCCTGCAGCCCCCACACTGCTGTTCTGCAGCTGGACAGGTCAGATCCCCGTGGGTGTCCTGCAGAGCCACACTCACCCCATCCTGGGAGAGCAGCCCAGAGCCTCACCTGCCTCCTCCCAGCTGGGGAAATGCTGGAATCCTTCTAAGTCTGCAGACAGAACGGGAGAATGGGGTCCTGAGGGCAGAGAAATCTGGATTTGGGGAGTGCTGGTCACTTCCCATCCCCCTGGGGCGGAGCCCCCAGCACTTCCCAGCGCCCGCAGCCACCAGCTCTGGGAGATGAAGGTGCTTGGGATGGTGATGGTGCCACCAGAAAGGCCAGCACAGAACCATCAGCCACACCCTCCCCAGGCCCAGGGAGGCGTAGCCAAGGTCCCACACACCTGCAGGCCACAGAAGGCCAGTGAGAGGCTGTGCCTGCACAGCTCCTGCAGCAGCTCTGCCAGCCCCAGCACCGCTGTGTAATCAGTGCTGCTGATTGTGGCAACAGTCCAGCACCACAGAGTGTGGTGGAGATGCTGCTGGAAGAGCATAAGGGCACATCCCAACAATGTAGTAGGCCCAGGGCCTGCAAAGGCTCCTTGGCAGTCAAGGCCTGACAGGAAATGCCAAGTCATGATGACTGGACCTTAGAAGCCCCTCTTTTCTGCCTTCAGACGCTTGCTTATCTCTCTGTAAGCCTATAGGTCACTTTCCTTTGACCTTTTCTACCGGACAATTTCCAAAACCCCTGTATCCTATATAAACCCCTACTTCTGCCCAGTTCAGCAGAAGAGCTGCCACTGAGAACCTTCATAGAAGACCCAAATAAAGAATTTCTTTGTAACCTCACACGGCCTTCTCCTCTCTCTCCCTGTGTCCTGCTGCGGCACCTAGCAAGCTAAAGAGCTGAAATCACAAATGAGCTGATAATCACTAAGAGCTGGTATCACTGGAGCTTGCTAAGGTTGCCTGCGGCTGGGAGCTGCTTGGGAATTTGAGGCTGTGCTGAGCAGGACTGCGCTATCCGGACCATTGCAGCCCACCGGGCATACCCCGGTGAAGCCATTATACAGCAAGTTCAGAAATGAGCAGCCCAGGGGTCACAGCCCTCAGAGCCAGGGAAGGGCTGGCAGGGGTGGGACAGCTGTGCTGTCACCACTGACACCTGCAGTCCCTGCATCTGTCTGGGCAACACCTGCCACCCACACCAGAGTGATGCAGGCGGTGACAGCTGTGTCCCCAGGACAGGCCAGGAGCACTGTACCTGCCAGAGCATGGCTGCACACCAAGTCCCTCAGGTGCTCCAAGGCTGGGAAGTGCAGGCTGCTCTCTGGCTGCACCAGCAGCATGGCCCCCTCCAACACAGGGAGCTCAGAGCTGTGATCTTCCCAGGCAGGGACAACTGCCCATGTCACTCCCTGCCCTCCTGGGTGGAGTGGGAGGAGCAGGAGCTCCCATCCCTCAGGAAAACCCTCCTGCACACAGCCCAGTGTCAGCAGGGCAGGGACAGCAATGCCTCCCTCTCCTGCTCTCCAGTTTGAGGATATTCCCTTCCTCCTGCTCCTTTAAAGGGGTTCCTGTGCTGTGCCCATGGCAGACTAGGGATAGCAAGAACAGGTCAGGAGCATTCTGCACCCCAGCACCTCACTGCCCTCAGGAGCCCACTCCCAACTCCCTGGCCCCACCACATCGAAGGGTGTGAGAAATGGATTTGTAAGGAATTCTCAAAACCTGACAGAAAGCTCACACGGTCTTGTACAAGTGTATGCAAACTGTGAGATAAGGTGTGCTGACTTAGGAAGGCCATGGAATAGAGATGACAGTGAGATTGAACTAGAAACAAGTTTCAACAAGTTTCAAACGATGTCCTTGCAAAAAGACCAGATATTTTAGAGAATTAGAACTGTGAAAGATGCATTGTAGCATTCCGTGGGGTAAAAATATGAGTGATTGGTGTTAGAAGTATTGTGGGGCAGCAAAAGCTAATAGGCTGAAAAACATTTATAAGGTATTGTAACCAGGAAATAGGGTTGCTTCTGATAGAATGGCATTGAGTTGTACATCTCTTATGTCTCACCCTTCATCGGGACTGATAATGGAATAAAATCTTTTAAAATACCTCTCAGTTGCCCCATCTCTGAAAAGCTGGGAAAACCAGCATAAGGGGAGGGGAGAAGCTCACCTTTATTGGTGGCCTGGCAATGGAGTAGAGCAGAAGAACCCCAGAAACCAGCACCCCAGCCATGATTCCATACTGGACCTCCCAGAAGCAGAGCAGGAATGTCACACAGAGGGGCACAAGGTGCAGCTCTGCAAGAGAGAGAAGCCAGGCTCAGCTGCGGCTGGTCCTGGTGCCACAGGGCACTCGGTGGCAGTGCCAGCTCTGTGAGCACAGCCGGGCTGCACCCGGGTCTTGAGGAATCCATTCCGTGCAGGTGGCTGGGGCAGCTTCGGTATGGAATAAAATCTTTTAAAATACCTCTCAGTTGCCCCATCTCTGAAAAGCTGGGAAAACCAGCATAAGGGGAGGGGAGAAGCTCACCTTTATTGGTGGCCTGGCAATGGAGTAGAGCAGAAGAACCCCAGAAACCAGCACCCCAGCCATGATTCCATACTGGACCTCCCAGAAGCAGAGCAGGAATGTCACACAGAGGGGCACAAGGTGCAGCTCTGCAAGAGAGAGAAGCCAGGCTCAGCTGCGGCTGGTCCTGGTGCCACAGGGCACTCGGTGGCAGTGCCAGCTCTGTGGGCACAGCCGGGCTGCACCCGGGTCTTGAGGAATCCATTCCGTGCAGGTGGCTGGGGCAGCTTCGGTGGAGCTGCAGGTGGAGCTCTGGGTGGGAGCCCTTGGAAAGGGCTGTGAACTGTCCGCTTTGCATGACAAAGGACCCAGGCACCGCTGGGCAGCCACATGATGGAACATTCAAGAGAGAGTGATGGGACAGTCAGAGACCGTGATGGGACAGTTAGAGGCAGTGATGGAACGCTCAGAGGCCTTGATGGGAAACTCAAAGACCACCCCTGGACTTAAGCACATCTGTGAGGGGATAAAAGGATAAAAGCTCACAGGCTGCTTTGCTCTGGATCCTTCCTCAGAAACACCCAATTGAGCTGTTATTCTGTTATTTAGTTATGGCACCATGATTAAATTATTTCAAGGATCTGGATGTCTGAGAATCTGCTATGGGAAACCTGGGGTAGAGCCGGTGAGGAGACCTGATCTGTGTGAGTGGGGTAGGGGGAGCCGTGAAGGGGTCTCTGTCCCAGCTCAGGGGGGCGAATGTGACTGCTGGAGTGGCTCCTGGATGGCTAGACTGGGGAACTGCCCATTGCCCGCTGATGCCCTCACTCTTAACTCGCCAGAGTGTCTGGAAGATGCCAGCGTCGAACATGGGCACCACAGCCAAGATGATGACAGCAGCGAGCACCACTTTGGGGATGTAATAGAAGAGAGGGGTGAGATAGCCAGGGACAGCAGGACCAGGGCACCTGTGGGAGTATCGTGCTTTTTGTTTTATTAGTAGGTTTATGGTTTGATTTGTGATTTGGTGGTTTTCCATGGTGCTGTTTTCCTTTTGTCTCCGCCTTTTCCCAGTTATTTCGTTGGCTAGTTTCTAGTTTCTATTTCTCCAAACTTTACCCGTTTATTGAAACCGTTTTTCCTCCCTTGGAAGTTTATTGGTTCACTACTGTTATTTCCCACCTAGGTTTTTTACTCCCAACTCTCCTGATTTGTTGAAAGTTGTGCCTTCCCCTGACTTTCTCCCGAGATATAAGTCTTTGTTCGCCCCTTGGTGGAGGTCCCAGGAGAGGAAAAAGGGGAAGTTTGCCATCAAATAAAGTTTCCCTGGGACCCGTGTGTGCTGCCTGTGTTTTATATTGCGCCGAAACAATTGACAACTGGGATTCAACGGAGCTCCAGGGGGAACCTGCCGCGCGCCGGCCCCCCCCTTGTCATCACCTAGCCAGGGAAAGAGAGGAGGACCCCGAGCCATGGGTACCCCAACACCCAGAGGTCCCCAACACCCAGAGGTCCCCAACACCCAGGGGTCTCCGGCACTGAGGGGTCCCTGATACCCAGAGGACCCCAGCACGGGCAGCAGCCTGGGGGCAGGGCAGGGGCAGGGGCAGGGTAAGGCTGTACCTGTGATGAGCCCTCCTGCGGGGATGCAGAGCCCTGACTGAGCATTGACTGCTGTCCTGAAACACAAACCCACACGATGACAGGGGGGAGCTGGGGGCTGCTCCTGCCCGCTGCCCAAAGACCCCATCCAGGAGAACTACCTGCCCTGTCAGGGAGAAACACGAGCAAGCTCTGGCTTCCAGGACTGCACAGCAGGAAGGGAGGTGGCCCTCCACAGAAGGGAAGGTGGCCACTGGGACACATACCAGTGGGCTGCTGGGGACCAGGACACGAGCTCAGGGACCCACTGGGGACAGCACAGTGTTCCACTCAGGATCTTGCAGAGCTCCCTCACCACGCAGCCCCAGCGAGTGCCCTGCACCCCCTCCTGCTACCCACCAGCCAAAGCTGCCCGTGATGGAGTGTGAGGAGACGAAGGAGCCCAGGACACTGGTGATGCCTGAGGAGACAAAGGAGAAGGGCTGGGAAGGCATTGCTGTGTTTGTGTTCCTGTGTGCTCCCTTCATGACGTTGTCCCTTCCTTCTTACCCGGAGCTGGAGACAATGCCTACCCACGCAAGAGTGAACTCAAGCCTGCTCCGGAAATCCTTGAGCTGTGAGAACAATCGAGGTAAGGAAGGGAAAGTTCAGTGGAGGCAGGACTGTCCAGATGGGGATCTCAGGCAGCCCAGGAGCTGTGGGACTCCTGGCAGTGCTGGAGCCCCACCCCTGCCCTCCTGAGCAAGCAGCTCTTAGCCAGAGCCAGCAGGTTCTGGTCAGGGTCAATCCTGTAACCATTCTGTGAGGCTGAAAGGAGATGTTGGCATTGGCCTGAAGCTCCCACAGGTACCTGCCACGCACACGGAGGAGAACCAGCAGTGACTGGGACTGTGTGGGCCCTGTCCTGGCACCCCTTGGGCACAGGAGCACCCCGAGAAAACACTCATCTCCTGGGCAAATTTCAGCTGGGCATCCCACAGGACCCCTCCTGGGACAGGTAGGGAGCACCAAATCAAACTCTACTAACAGAGCTCAGTGGCTAAACTGCCCATGGGCCAGGGAGCCCTGCCTGGACTTGTGGCTGCAGAGAGGAGACAGCAGCAGCCACAAAACCGCCTGCACTGCTCCTCCACAGCACCTGTCTGCATTCTCACAGGGATAATTGGGAAGAAGCACATGAGGCCGGGGGCTGTGTACCCCTTTGACTTCGCCTACAGAGAGGAGAACAGTTTGGTCCTGCAGGCTCGGAGAAACATCACCCAGATCAAGGCACTTGTCCGGTGGCTCCTGCAGAGCCAGGACAAGAGGTGAGACTGCCCCCTTGTCCTGGGAATGGCTTCACTGAAGATGTGTCCCCATGGCCCAGCTGGTCACAGACAGGAAGGGGCCCCTTGTCGCTGGGACTCCCCATAGCCAGATTAGGTGGGGGGAATCCTGCTGACCCCAGCTCACCGTGGGACAGCCCAGGAAGGTCTCTGGGCAGTCCTTTGCTTCACCTCCTCCACATCCCCCCTTTCCATCCCCAGGCCTTTCTTCTTCTATGTTGCCTTCCATGACCCTTACCGCTGCAGGCACTCCCAGCCTCAGTATGGGGCCTCTTGTGAGAAATTTGGCAATGGAGAGGGTGGGATGGGCTGGATCCCTGACTGGAAGCCACAGATTTACCACCTGGAGCAAGTGCAGGTGAATACTTGTGGGTATGTGTGGGGCTCTATGGGGTTGCATGTGATGGCAGCCTCTGGTGGAGCCAGGGCTGGCCCCCACATTGTCACTGCCCCCCGTGTCACAGCAAGAGCTGGTGAAGGCACAGGGACCTGTGTCAGCCACGTGCCCGTTTCCCTGTCTCTGTTTAGGTCCCTACCTTTGTCCCACACACACTGGCTGCCCGGGAGGACCTGGCTGCCCAGTGCATGACCATCGGACGCATGGATCAAGGTGGGAGCCATGGCCAGGCTGGGGTTGAGCTCTGCAGCCCTCCCTGCCCCCTGAGCTCTGCCCCTCCTCTCACAGGGACCAGGCTGCTCCTGGAGGAGCTGCACCACACCGGCTTCCTCAACAACACTGGCTTCCTCAACAGATTCCCGGTGATCTACGCCTCCGACAATGGCATCCCCTTCTCCGGGGGCAGGACCAACCTCTGCCGCTCGGGCACCGCCCAGCTGCTGCTCCTCTCCTCCCCCGAGCACCCCCAGCGCTGGGGGCAGGTCAGCCAGGCCTTCGCCACCCTCCTGGGTAAGAGCTGAGGGAGGGAGGCAGCACAGCTGTGCCTGGAGGTGTGGGCTGCTCCCCACCCTCCCTGCACCAAAACTCAGGGTCCTGTCCCTGGGGACAGCCCTCAGCATTGGCAGGGCCAGTGCAGGGAAGGGAGAGGAGGAAGGACAGGACAGGGTCCCCTGCAGGGACACCATCCCTGGGGACCTTTCTGCTGCTCTCTGGGGCTGAGTTTCCTCCCACAGGTGGCTGTCCCTGCTCTCACCCTTTTCCACCCCTCCAGACCTGACACCGACCATTCTGGACTGGTACTCCATCGAGGGAGGCAGCACAGCTGTGCCTGGAGGTGTGGGCTGCTCCCCACCCTCCCTGCACCAAAACTCAGGGTCCTGTCCCTGGGGACAGCCCTCAGCATTGGCAGGGCCAGTGCAGGGAAGGGAGAGGAGGAAGGACAGGACAGGGTCCCCTGCAGGGACACCATCCCTGGGGACCTTTCTGCTGCTCTCTGGGGCTGAGTTTCCTCCCACAGGTGGCTGTCCCTGCTCTCACCCTTTTCCACCCCTCCAGACCTGACACCGACCATTCTGGACTGGTACTCCATCCCCTACCCTGCTTACAGCATCTTTGGCACCAGGCAGGTGCAGCTCACTGGAAAGTCTCTCTTGCCCTGGAGTCGGAGGAGCCATGGGCCACCGCCTTCAGCAGCCAGAGTGACCACGAGGTGACCATGTACTACCCCATGCGAGCCGTCCAGCACGAGCAGTTCCACCTCATCCACAACCTCAACTACAAGATGCGCTTCCCCGTCGACTAGGACTTCTGCATCTCGCCCACCTTCTGAACTGCACCAAGGCGGGGCAGCCACTCACTGGAACAAGACCCTGCAGCAGTACAACTACCGAGCCCGCTGGGAGCTCTTTGACTGCAGCCGTGACCCCGCGGAGAGCCAGAACCTGGCCCCTGACCCACACTATGCTGGCATCCTGCAGCTGCTGTGTGTGCAGCTCCTCAAGTGGCAGTGGGACACGGGGGTCCCTGGGTGTGCGCCCCCGACGCCGTCCTGGAGGAGAAGCTGAGCCCCCAGTGCCGGCCACTGCACAACGAGCTGTGAGTGCCACCTGTGCCTGGGACAGTGCTGTGCTCCTGCAGGGCACAAGGGCTTAGAGCAGGACCACGATGGGCTGGTCCCAAAGCCCAGGTGACACCACGAGGCTCTGCCCTCTGCTGCCAAGACCACCTGGCCCCCGAGCACTGAGGGATTCCTGGTGCCTTGGCTCTCAGCCAGATAAACCGAAGGGCCAAGCTGCCCCTCAATAAAGCCTCTGAAGGATAAGACTCCATTTTCACCTGGAGCTGAGCACACCCCTGCAGCAGTCCCCAGCTTGGAGGCAGCAGGACAGGCCAAAGGCCTCTGTGGCACAGCCAGGGCTGCAGGAACAGCTGGGGACCCCCAGGGCTCTGGGAAATGGGGAAAGCCTTCAAGGGCCACTGAAGACCTCCATGCAGCGACAGAGCCAGGGTGTCCTAGCCAGGGGCAGGGGGCTAAGCACATTCAGGACCAAGAGAGGGGACAAGGACATGGCCGGGGACTGCTCCCAGCAGAACCCTGTTGAGGTGGGCGCTGGCCCGCAGCAGCTGGCTGAGTACGGCGTCCTGGGGACAAGGGGATGGATGGCACCGTGTGCTCCTGCCTCTCAGCCACCCCACGTGCTCCCAGGGCTCCTCTAGGTGCCCCACCCCACCTGCTGCCCCTCTGCAGGCCACGGAGCAGACACAGGTGTGCCAGGGCCACCAGGAGCCCCTGCCCAGATGCCCCCTGCCAGCAGCTCCCTGTGCTCACAGTGGAGGCCAGGAAGAGAATCTCAGTGTAGTCACCCCTCTGAAAGGTCTGCCAGCTCTCCCCATCGTCCCAGAACAGGTCCCCCCTGGTGAAGCTGTCCAGGGTCAACACCACCACCAAGGCCATGCCCTTCCCATGGGACTGGGCAGTGCTGAAGGTGGGCTTCTGGGGCACGAGGCAGGCACAGCTCGGGGCACTGCCACAGCCATGTCCCCCAGCCCTGCAGCCACAGCTCTTCTGACATTGGTGTGGGCACTGCCACCCTCCCAGGCTGCTCGGGCAGGTCACTGTGGTGTCACCACGGAGCAGAGGGGGCTCACCTGCAGGGGCAGGATGTGCCCTGCACGGACGTGGACGTTGATGGTGTCCAGGGGCGCTGGCAGGAGGATCCACTGTCCTTTGCTGTGGATGGTGGAGTCCTACACGGGGACAAAGAGAGTGAAGAGCAGGCACAAGGTGCCACAAGGCAGGGGAGGCCCAGTCCAGTGCCAGAGCCCTCAAATGTCCACCAGCAGAGGCAGGTGAGGCACAAGACCCACACACAGCCCTGGGGGGCTGGTGGGATGCAGGAATGGGCACAAGGTGCCACAGCAAAGCCCCCTGTGCAACACAGCAGGAGCACCCACCCCTGCGAGGCTGTACCACGTCCCTGCTGGGAAGCAGCCACTGACTTTGGTCTATCCTGCCTCCAGCACAGGGGTGACGAGCAGCCCCTCGCCCCACAGGAGCTAGCGGTCCATGGCCCAGGTGTTGGGGTCTGTGGGGAACCTGGGGAAGGAGGGGAGGGCAGTGCCAGGAGACCCTGCAGCCCGGTGGGGCTGGCACCCACTTGAGGAACAGGGGCCATTCCACAGTCTAGCCATCGCTGTGAGCCTGGTGGAACAGCAGGTAAAGGGCAGGAGGGAGTTGCAGAGGTGAAGGGCGTTCCTCATGGCTGCCTGGGCAGGCTGAAGGCAAAGGGCTCCTGTGGCTGCGGGGAGGGGAACGGCCCGAGGGGATGCTCAGCCCACGTGAGAAGGAACGGAGGGCGCATTTCAGGGATGCAGGATGGACTATCCCAGCACCGGGGACACACAGCCCTGCAGCTGAGCCAGCCGCCTTCCCACACTGGCTTGGCCCAGAGCCCCCTGTCTGGTGGGTGAGGGCTCCCAGGGCTCACCCGGGTGCTCACCCTGTGGTGATCGTTGTGGCTCCTCAGGAAGGGGCAGAAGGCACCCAGCTGGGTCCAGCACAGGCACAGCTCCTCGTTTGTGTTGCTCAGGAAGCCACAGATGTCGGCGCCCACAGCGGCACCCCGAAGAGGTTGAAGAGCAGCACCTCTGCAGAGGGCACAGAGGGCATCAGGGTTCTGCAGCACCAGGGGATGGGGCCTATGGAGAAGCCCCTGGCTGTGGGGGCAAGGGGGAAGCAGGGCTGTGGGTGCAGGCCCAGTGCCCCACAGCCTACCTGGCATGGAGTAGTAGAGGTGCTTCCCGTCTCTGCCAACATCTCCTGTCCAGTGCCAAGTGAAGGTGGAGCGTGAAATGATGAAAGGATGCTTGCCCCGGACCCTCAGCAGAGCACTGGGAGTGGGATGGGTCTGCTTAGCACCCTCCAGCTGAGGAAGGGGCTCAGGGCTCCCACAGTGCCCTGTGTTCCATACCAAACCCTCACCCACCACCCATGCCTGCCCACACTGAGTCTCTCCCACACAGCTCTTCACTCCCAGGATGTGCAGGAGCTGTGGCAGGAGCCTCAGATTCACTGTGAGAGGCGATGGCCTCGGTCAGCCCATACAGGCTGTGCAGGTTGTAGTGAGAAGACAGGTACTGCTGGCTGGAGACACAGATGTTCCCGGCCTGCAGGCATCCTCCAAACACACCTGCACAGGAGAGGTGGAGCTCAGATCATTCCCCGAGCTCCTCCTGGCTTCCCCAGAGCCCTGGGCAGGGCTGGAACCCACTCC